TACACATATAAAATATCTATACCTTGTTTGGGATTCGAACCCATGATCCCGGTGTCCGAGAGAGCGAAGACGGTAAATGCCTTAGACCGCTCGGCTACCGTAACCGGCAAAAAATCAAACTCCGTTGCTTTAGTCAGCAAGCGAACTATACCGACCGAGCGACCGCCGCTTGTCGGCCAAGTTAGCGTCATCTTTTATGGATAGAGGGTGTCGCGTGGTCAGCGCAACGAATCCTCACGGCCGTTAATTTCGTTTTTTTTAGACCGGAGCCGCTACTTTTCCATTCAAGTAGCTCCTCAGTTATCGTCACGAGGCTGAGTGGACCCCGTTGACAGTGATTGACAGCGTCCTACATACCCCCCCCCTCAAATTATCTAGTAAATGCCCTACTCTCAGCTTCTCAAGCAAGCGGAAAGTTTAGAGCTGCCCTTATTTTTACTCCGATCAGTGTTTTAGGGTATAAACGGTTCCAGCCATGGTAACACCCGTGCTCAGAGTTGAAAGAGCAAGCGATAAGCCGTTCAGGTTTCAGTAACTACACTCATGTTCTCGTCAGTTGACCGCCTTTTTTCGTATAGCTCAAGTGTCCTCTTAACCCAGGAAGATTAACTTCGAGTACTAGCCACAACAATATGTGTAATACAACATAATGATTATTGTTGTTAATTTTTTTTTGTATCACTGACATGCACTTTGAACGTCTAAAGTCAAATACAATGACATGAATGTGTAATCTCCTCCTTTCGCTCGGACTGTGGAATTTGAGCTCGATGTAAACCCTCTGTGTCATGATACTTACCATTCTGTAATACTTAATTATATCCATGAACAAATTAATGCCAGAATTAACGAATCCAAAATGGAAATTATGATCTACAAAAATTAATTGCCATAAAAGAACCCAATTTACTTGTAAAAATGACCAAGACATGTAGAATACGAGGATATATATATACTGTATATGTATATATTTCCCCTGATATAACTTAACAAACCCGAAAGGTTCAAAACAGATAATAACGAAGTCTGTCATTAGACACGATCTTCACTACGTGATCCTATCAGCAGATTTTTTACTTCGCATTCGGAAGGCCCTGAGTTTTAATCTGGGCCCGGAGATCAGGAACCTTGAACGAGATTTTCCGTTTCTTTTTCTCAAATTTCTCCACTCACAAAATCAGGCATTGCACCTGATATCAGGCCATAACCTATCTATCTATCTGTCTGTATGTCTGTCTGTCTATCTATCTATCTATCTGTCTGTCTATCTACAGCCCTTTATTGTACCTTGGCTGCCCTTTTAGTTTCTTGATCGTTTTACAGAAGGTAGGACTCCTTGGAAGAGCGATCAGCCTGTCGCAAGGCCGCCACCTGCACGCAGGTCAGCACAAACAGAATTTATACACACAGATATCCATGCCTCAAGTGAGATTCGAACCCACGATACCAACTTTCGAGCGAGCGAAGACAGTTTATACCTTAGACCGCGTGGCCACTGAGATCGGGCGGACCATAACCACCTTCTTTAAAATCATTTCCAGTTCACTGTTCATTAAGCAGACTAAAGCTACACAGCCTGGGATACTGACAGCGTCATTAAATAATTCATAAGTAAATAGAAAATAATTGTTATAGCGCAGTCGGTATAGCGACTGCGCTATGGGCTCGAGATCCAAGTCTTAGTAGGGTCAAGACTTTCCTCTTCTTCACGTAGTCCAGACCGACACTGGGGCCCACCCAGCCTCCTTTCAAATGGGGAAAGGGTTTTTCTTTCTCGGGGGTGAAGCGGCAGGGGCGTGAAGCTGACCACTCGCCTCCAGCTAGTGCCGAAGTCAAGAAAACGTATGAGTCTATACATCCACTCCCCACACGTACTCATGGTTTAATGCTTAATTAATTAACACGGCGATAACTTTACCCCTATCTAGGATATACTTTTCTTTTTCAATGGCATTTCCAGCCCATTCAGGGCCCATACCTCTTACTCAGTTCCGTAATAAATATCACAGACCGTGAAGAGTGATCAGCCCTTCACAAGGCGTCACACAGGACAACGCAGTCACAGAATAAAACATACACAAATCCCACACCAGGCATGGATGTCTGTGTGCGTTTAGGTAGCGGCCTTGCGACGGGCTGATCACTCGTCCAAGGAGTCCTACTGTCTGGAAAATTATTAAAAAAAACATCCTTGACGCCGTAGGGTATAAGAGGAACGGATTAAGTAAGTAACTAAGTTTCTTGGCGTCAAGTTTTAGGACTATTACGAATGATTAACTGAAAGGAATGTGAATAGAAATTATCTTAGCCTGTTTAAGGTACAGAATGTTTCTGCCTATGCTGAAGGACTGCGTTCCAAATCAGTACAAAGCAACACGTCACATTAAAATTTAGCAGTCTGTGTTTGTCACGCAGCAAGTTTCCATGTCTGAACAGGATGAGATGAGCAGGACTTTGGAGAGAAGAGAAATGTTTGCAGAAATTTAGTCGAAAATCCTGAAGGTATAAAATTACTTGAGAGGCCTAGGACTAAATGGGACAGTGGTCTTAAAATAGACAATGGGATATGGCGTTACTGATTGGATTCACATGGCTTAAGTTAAGGGCCAGTGGAGACCGCTTCCCAAGATGATAACCAGTCTTCGGATTCTATAAAAGTCGGAAAAATTGTTTTTGATTAGATGAACGAATATTAGTGTCTCAAGAAATCTGACCTTCCGTAAGCTAGCTTAGATAGGTTGCGGGTAGATGATAGACTGTTAAAGTGAATCATAGCAAATATTTTCTGATATAAATCTGCGTTTAATTTCAATATTAATAATTTTGCAAGATCACAGATACTTTAAAGGCAAATTATACAAAGGCCTTTTCATAATATGTTTATCATTTTTAAATTTGATCATGTCCTTATATAAACATTTTGCATACCCGTCGTTATCAGTCATGTTAGCATATTTCAACTTGATTTTTTCTTTTATTAATTTGCAAGATATCATTATTTATGTCAGCCCGCGGGAGATAATTATGCAATTAATTGGCTGAACTGCATGTTTGTTTTGTCATATTCAGCACCGAATCAAGATAGGACTTAACTTGTAAATGGAACAAGCTACGTTTTGGAGTGAAAAAAAAATATAAGACAAATATGCACACTGATCGTATAAATATATTATATAATTCCTTACAGTATACTAAATTAGCTTCACTCAATAATTTTAGGGGTTTATGACATGACGTCGGAATAGTCCACTGCTATACAAAGGATCGCCAAAGCGCGTATCGGCAGAAATCAAAACGTTGCTGCGAAATTGACACACGTTTCGTAGCAACGGATGGACACCGAACAATAGACGAATTGTTCGAGGTGACAATCTCTGTTCGGTTCTCCCCGAGGTATAAAAAGGGAACACGTAATTGAGTCGAGAGTAGAGTCGCAAGAGAGTGCATTTGTCAGTCAGTCGTAATTCAGATGGCAGTTCAATAGTTCAATGTTCAGCTGTGGAGTGTTAACCCGCGACAACGGAGCCTGAAGAAATGACCGATTCGTAAATAAGAACCAAGTCAGTCACAGTGGAAGAGAAGACACTCGTAGTTCAGTAAGGATAGGAGCGAGTCCGAGACAGTCATAGATTGCAACCTATTATAATTGATTGTAATTGTAAAGAAGTGCCAATAAATCCAATCATCAAATCCAGAACCCGTTATTATTAGTCACGGAATCCCAGACACGTGACAATATGTTGACATTTGTTTAATTTCTGTTTTAAATGCCTTAGTTCGAGAGACGAATGCTTAAATGCAGTATTTTATATTTATATTACTGCTGTATATCCTGTATCTCATTGGGGAAAGTAAGATAGCTCTGTCGGTATAGCGACTGGCTACGGTCTGGATGACCGACAACTAGGAGTTCGAGTCCCTGCAGGGTTACGAATTTTCACTTCTCCATGTCGTCCAGACCGACTCTGGGTTCCACCCAACCTCCTCCCAGGGGTAAAAAGGCCGGGGCTTGAAGCTGACCACTCACCTCGAACTGGTGCCGAGGTCAAGAAAATGTGGATCTATACATCCATCACCCATACACCTTCGTGTCGTAATGCTTTGTTAGTTAAGCAGAGGGGCAACTTTACTTTACCTTTACTTCGTCTTATAAAAAGAATACCGGGCCGCGGTCTCACGAAGGTTGAGAACCACTGGCCACCAATAGCACTATTGTCAGAAGGCAGAAGACCACAATTTGAAAAATTACCACCATCGAAACTGCACAGCATCCTGCCCCAGTTCAATGCACTGACTGTTCTTATACACTCATTTCCTAACATCTGCCCTAATTCTGTACATACTTAATTTCGTCTAAATACATGTAGTATGCAGTTCAGTTCGACTGGTTACTAGCTGGACGGCGGAGGGGCCGGTTTTCGTGTCCAGGTAGGGGCAAGATTTTTCTCCTTTCCACGTTGTCCAGACCGGTTCTGGGCCCCAGTCAGCCTCCTATTCAGTGGGCACCAGGGGCAAAGCGCCCGGGGCGTGAAGCTGACCACTCACCTCCCTTTAGTGGTGAGGTCACGAGTTATGGAACTATATCTCCACTTCCCATACGTCTACATGGCGTAGTACTTCATTATTTAAGCACAGGTACAACTTTACCTTTTTACCTAACCGAAAACACATTACGTCTCCTCTACAAAGATCAGCCTGTTAATGCTTTTTAGGGACAAAATCTGTTTTATTTGTGAACCATACGGAGCACACAAGTACACTCTGTGGGCAGAATGCAGAGGTTTAATATGCTAAAACTTGTGGTACATATAGTGACCACCAGGCTTTAAATATGTTAATAACTTAAGAAAGATTCCGTAAATCATTAATTATCTCCGGGAAATGTTATTCACTATCATATTGACTGGTTGAACCTCAAAGGTCAAAAGTAATAGCAGAGAAAACGTGGTGCTTATTGAACGTTGACATGACACGTAGATCCAGTTGGTTCACTTGACAAACTTCACTCCATGGCCAATGTGCAGCGAATGTGTCAAGAGAGAGACCAGTCCGCAGTTCATAGCGCTGTGTGAAGTGGCTTGGTGAGAACTCTATTGTTGGTGCACAGAACAGAATAGCGCTGTGTGAAGTGGCTTGGTGAGAACTCTATTGTTGGTGCACAGAACAGAATAGCGCTGTGTGAAGTGGCTTGGTGAGAACTCTATTGTTGGTGCACAGAACAGAATAGCGCTGTGTGAAGTGGCTTGGTGAGAACTCTATTGTTGGTGCACAGAACAGAATAGCGCTGTGTGAAGTGGCTTGGTGAGAACTCTATTGTTGGTGCACAGAACAGAATAGCGCTGTGTGAAGTGGCTTGGTGAGAACTCTATTGTTGGTGCACAGAACAGTCCGAATAAAGTGGTAAGGTCAGATTGGGTCGAACATTGAGTCAGCCGCAAGCTTTTTAACTGTTTTGATTTTAAAATCTGATTTAATATTATCCAACAGAAGATAAAATTGATGATATAAAGGACAGGTTTAACGAAGAACTAGAACACGTATTTGATAACTTCCCGAAGTACCGTATGAAAATGTTGCTAGGAGATTTCAATGCCAAGTAGGTAGGGAAGACATTTTCAAACCAACGATTGGGAAGGAGAGTTTACACGAAATTAATAATGATAATGGGGTTAAAGCAGTAAACTTTGCTACATCTAAATATCTGACATACAATTCAGAATGCGTTAAAGAACAAATATGATACTAAAATTATGAACTAAAAGCAAAAAAAAAAGTAAAGACATCCCTGTTATAGGCCGTGGAGGCCCATAGGGTTGTGAGATGTTGAGAGTCCCACATTTTCTAAACAATCGGCTCATAGATGGTTGTCAGCCTTACGCGCCGGCCGCCCTTTACCCTCAAAAATAATTACCAGGAATCTTCCTGGGGTTAAAGGCCTTTTTTATTCTAATTTCTGTGATCAGCCTGTTTTATTTAATTCGAAAAACGCTTATTACATTCTACTGAAAACGGAAAAATGTTTGTTATATTGTGTAATTTGAAGGAGCCTAACGAAGTTGTGGCCCTTAGCCCTTTCAATAACCGAGAGAAGTAGTTCCTCCACCTATTCAAAATGTTGTGAGAATCTGCAAGCAGATCACCATTCTCATCTTTCACTAAGCTACTTTTAGGTTGGTAACCCCCTTGAAGTTATTTATTCCTCTCTACAGGTCTCTAATGTTCTTGTTCTTACTGTTCATTGCAAGCTCATCAATTTTGTCTTTCAGATATTCCCTCTTTTTGTTCCTGAAATGGCTGCTGGTTTCACGTCTTATATTGTTCAGATTATCCCCATTTATTTCGCTTGTATCCTATAATCGCTGCAATTTCGTTTGTCTCGTTTGGTCGAATAATTTTTAACATTCTTAATGAAACCATGGCTTATGGTTCTTCGATTCATAATAACCTAGACTATCTTTGGCTGAAATTTTTATATTCTCTCTAACAGTTTCCCAAACTTTATTAACATCCACCTCAGTGTCCAAATTTTCCAAAGACACGAACCTGTTTAAGATTTCGATACTATACTGCTCTTTACCCTCTACCTCGTTACATTTCTTGAGATTGAACCTCTCCATATGAACTGTGTGCCTCATCTGTTTGCTCACTGCCAGTCTTTCCCTAACATTTGCCACGACCAGGTAGTTGTCGGGATCACAATCTGCTGCCCTGAATGATCGGACATCAAGTATACTTTAATGCCGTCTCCTGTCTATCAAAATGTGGTCGATTTGAGTGTGTATCTTCCCGTCAGGAGATGTCCAAGTAAATTTATGAATGTTACGATGTGGGAACTTCGCACGTTTGACAATAAGATTTTTGGATGTGGAAAACTTTACTGCTCTAACTCCATTATTATTACTAATTTCGTGAAAACTCTCATCCTCAGTTGTTGGTTTGAAAATGTCTTCCCTACCTACATTGGCAGGCATTGAAATCTCCTACACATACCAAATATCTATAACTTTTTTAGGATTCGAACCCACGATCTCGGCTTCCGAGAGAACGAAGACAGCACATGTCTTAGACCGCTCGGCTACCGTGACCGGAAAAAATCAAACTCCGTTGCTTTAGTCTGCAAGCGAACTATACCGACGGAGCGACCGCCGCTTGTCAGCGAAGTTAGTGCCAACTTTTGCTGATAGAGGGTGTCGCGTGGTCAGAGCAACGAATCCCCACGGCCGTTAATTTCGGTTTTCTAGACTGGAGCCGCTACTTTTCCATTCAAGTAGCTCCTCAGTTATCGTCACGAGGCTGAGTGGACCCCGTTCCAGACCCACTACTTCTCAGAAAATCTTATAGGGCCGGAAATCGAACCCGGAACCTCTGATTTTATAGCCAGGAACTCTGATCACTATACCCTATATAGTCTCGATATTGACATCGTCATTAAATAATCAACATTGATTGTTGTCGACAGATGTATCTGAGTGTCCAAGCGAGAAGAGCGGAGAGCAACATGGGAGACGAGCAGTTACCCCAGCTGGTGTCCGTTGCTCGAATTATCAAGTTGCCCATTGTTGAGACGGGCTGCCATCTGGCGGCTGACGTCTATACCAGGATCAAGGTAAAGCAGTGCTCATCTCTGCAAACTTTGCCCCCCAAATCTGTTTGAGAGTCGATCGTATAAATGTGGGAATCGAAATTCTCACAGCGGTGACCAGGAAGAGTAGTGTATTCTGGGATGTGATGCCGTGTTGTCTGGTATAATTTCAACAACGTTTTGGAAGAATATACTGCCTGCGTCATCAAGGTCGAGCAGAAGTTGGTGCCTACTGGTTTCTGGTTTAATCTTCGAGACTGAAAATGGAGGCATTATTTTCCACCGAAACGTTCGGTAAATTTCCATCAGAGTACATGGAATAACATGTCAGAAGACAGTAGGTTACTACTTATGTCTATCTTAGGCCACTTGCAATATTATTGGAGAAACGGGGTTTTGATTCCCGACGGGGGTACAGAATATCCTGTTCACTGCATAGTCAAGCTCAACCAGCGTCATATCCGCGAGTTCATTCCTCGGCTGTAAAGCCACCAGGGAACTAAGATCACCAATCACTTCCGTCCAGTGTCCAGATGAAGAAATCGTGGACCTACGAGTGAGTATGGGGCACTGTGCTACAAGCCGGAAGGTGCCGGTTCAAGTTCCGATGAGGTCATTGGAGTTTTTCAATTGACCAAACCCTTCCAGCCGCACTACGGCCTTGGGGTCGACTTAGCCTCTAACAGAAATGAGTACCAGGAATATTTTGGGGGGTAAAGGGCGGCTGGTGCGTAAGGCTGAAAACCTTTCCGCCAACTGTGAGCCGATTGTCTAGATAATGTGGGACCCTCAATGTCTCACAACCGTATGGGCCTCCACGGCCCGTTACAGGGATAGCTTTACTTACTTTACTTTTTTACGAGTGAGTGTACCTCTATCGCATTGGGTGCGAAAGCATAATAAATGTACAGAATAGCCTCAGTTTCGCCTCGAAAGTCCAAACGACAAATGTTCAAGATCACAAACAGTCATCAGAAACCAATATACAATATACATGCTTTACCAGACCCTTATGAATTAGTGGTATTCTCAGTATTTAATTCCTTGTGATTTTGCAGAAATCCAACTCGCTGGTGAGCTGGGGGTTGAACACAGCTGAGGCCTCTCTGCAGGTGGCCCTCGAAACCACTTTGCCAGCAGTGACTGTGTTGGAGAGACCTATAACACTTCTTGATTCCTTGTTATGTAGGGGCCTCGACGTTGTCGAGGGAAGAGTCCCATTGGTCACTCTGCCACCTGGACAGGTCAGTACTTATTTACTTACTCATGGAGCTGAGCCCTTCTTGAGGAGCCGCCAAATCTGCAAATACTCAAGAATTTTCCCAGCATTTTATGGAACCAGAAGGTTTACTCGTATTACCGTGTTCACAAGAGCCCTCCACTGGTCCCTGTCCTGAGCCAGATCAATCTAATCCATACCATCCCACCTCTAAGATCCATTTTAATATTTTCTACTCATCTACATCTTGGTCTTCCCAGTGGTCTCTTTCATTCTGGTTTTCCCACCAATATCCTTTATGCATTCGTCTTCTCCCCCATTCGTGCTATATGCCCTGCCCACATCGTCCTCCTTGACTTGATCATTCTATTTATACAAGTACTTGGAGAAGAGTACAAATTATTAAGCTCCTCATTATGCAGTTTTCTCCAACCTCCTGTCACTTCATCTCTCTTCAGCCCAAATATTGGAAACGTCAGTGAAAGTTCAAAAAGGTAAAGTTTCCCTGTCATTAACTAATTAAGCACTGTGCTCGATGAGCGTATTTTTTACCTCGACACTAGTTGGAGGTGAGTGGTTAGCTTCACGTCTCTGCCAATTTACCCCCGGAGAAATAACACCCGCTACTCGTTAACCTGGAGGCTGCTTGGTCTTCAGAACCGGTCTTGATGACGTGGAGAGGATCTCCCGTCTTCTGTAAAAGATCGAAAACTCATCCGCGCAGAAAAATGAGTAATCTGGAATTAAGCACTTGAAGCCTGCTTATGTTAAAGAAAATCCATTTTCACTTCGCAGGAAATATAACAGCGTATCTTATTTAGTTTCAAGTTCAAATCTTCGTCGTTTTAAGTCACAATTCAAGAACCACGTGCTTTCCTGTCTTTTAGTAACAAGTCGCATCGAAATATCCGACGTTGTCATAGTCACAGAACCAAATCTTCACCTTCCTAAAGTAACACATTCTAATATCTGGCTTTTCCTTACTAAAAAATTCAAATCCCTAGTTTTATTTTAGTAACAAGTACAAGAAAGGAACACGCGGTAGCGTAGATGGTTGAGACACTATGCTAGAAGCCGGAAGGTAGCAGTTTCGATTCCTGATGAGGTCATTTGATTTTCTTCGATTGACCTAATCCATCCAGCCGCACTATTGCCTTGGGGTCGATTCAGCCTCTAACAGAAATGAGTACCAGGAATCTTCCTGGGGGGGTAAAGAGTGGCCGGCGCGTAAGGCTGACAACCTCACCACCATCTGTGAGCGGATTATCTAGAGAAAGTGGGAGCCTCGACGTCTCACAACCCTATGTGCCTTCATGGCCTGTTACAGGGATAACTTTACCTTTAACAAATTGAAAAATCTGATTTTATTTTAGAAATAAATCTAAATTCCAACGTTCCCTCGTCAGTTAAAACCCAAACATAGAATTTCGTTGACAAAAGCAGTCATGAATCTATATTTACGCCTTTCCATAATTACGGATCGAGATTTCCGCCTTTCTTTTAGTCGTGTCTAAGCTTCTATATCGTCCTTAATCAGAAAATCAGAGGTGGGCTTGGTGTTATTTGTTGCAGATATACGAGAACACAAAGGAATATGTGAGTAGTGTTGTCGTGCTGCCCGTCCTGCGAAGGGCTGACACAGTGAAGCAGTTCGGACTGAGTCAGGCTACATCTGCAATCCTCAGGCTCGATAATGTTATTGCAGTGGCCGACAAATATGTGGACCAGTATTTGCCAGGCACCGCACCTGATGGAAATCAAGGTGAGGCAGTGAACAACTTGATTTCTGTTCAAAATATTGATATTAGTTTTAACTGTAACTTATAACAAACTACTCGTATTAGGTCATTAGTTTAGGCCTAGAGTTTTATTGTATCTCAAGCATATTTTAAAAAACTACTACATTTCAATATGAACACCAAAATGAAATTCCACACGCGTTTCTCTTACTTCGATTTTAAAATCAAATACCTGATGGTTTATATATAACTTACTTTTTAGTAGTTAGTTAGTTATTAGAGAGGGTGGGTTTCCCCATGCACTTAGACCTGTAGTGGTCCATTGTACTTCCCTCTGTGATTTCTACCAGCCTCTATATCCTACCGGTATTGGTGCTTACCATCAGTCCCACCCACCCAGCGAGACCGGCTCTCTACTGGCTGAGGAGTATCTATAATGCTTCCCCCATCTACCGGAAGTATTAGTGACTGCTGTTGGGCGGCAAACGTCTGCAATTTTGCTCAGTGACCTCCTTTGGAGGTATGAGGTTCTTTTACGTGCCGTAAAGCTACGACACGGGACCCACGGCTTAAAGTCCCTCCCGGAGAACTTGTTCCCTGAATTTTTCCGCCCTTAAAAATTCGACGACCTCCGCCGGGTATTTGAACCAGCGTACTACGAGTCATGAGGTGGGAATGTTACCTCTAGACTACGGAGGCCACTTACTTTCTAGTAACTTCTATATGTACAGAATATATCTTGAATATCTGATCGTTTCCCGTGATGATGGTCCACTATGAGAGCGGCAACATGTAGCGTCAACAGAAAAATGAAGCAAATGTTGATACAATAATGTCTGTTTTGTTTCTCAAGAATATTGTTGTGTACACTGACCCCATTATACCCATATATCTGATCGTTATTCTCTTGGTAAAGACATTTCCTGCTTGCATGAAACCCAAAAGTTAATCACCGTATTCTCAAAAAAGGCTCCACCGAGCTCTGAGCTGTATAGAAATTATGCTAGTTCTAAAAAACGCAATATATACAGGTATGCGAATATTATTGGTTCATGTTTCGGCAGTAAGGGTAATCTTCAGGCTATCTGTATATTCATTACTGCCTGATACGAATATGCACCGCGGTCAGTGTTGACATGTCAATTCATATTGGTATACACTGCAAGCATTAGTCACAATATGTTCTTAATATTGGGTGTGAAACTTGGTCTCTGACATTAAGGGAGGAACATATACTGAAGGTGTTTGAGAACAGGGTGTTGAGAATATTTGGACAGAAGAGAGATGAAGTGAGGGTAGATTAGAGAAAACTGCATTATGAGGAGCTTCATAACTTGTATTCTTCTCCAAGTATACTTAGAATGATCAAGTCAAAGAGAATGAGATTGCCAGGGCATGTAGCAGGAATGGGGCGAAAAGAATGCATGTAGGATGTTGGTGGTAAAGCTACTAGGAAACAGACCTCTAGAAAAACCAAGACGTACGTGGGTAGACAATATTAAAATGGATCTTAGAGAAATGGGATGGAATGGTGTGAATTGGATTGATCTGGCGCAGAATAGGAACAAGTGAAGGGTTCTTGTGAACACGGTAATGAAATTTCTGGTTCCATAAAATTCTTAGAAGTTCTTGAGTAGCTGCACAATTGGGGGCTTCTCAAGAAGGGCTCAGCTCCATGAAGTTAGAAGTTACTTAAAATTGGCGAAGAAAGATAAGAATAGGGAAGGATGGGGGTTCGAACTTGTGAGGATACGTACTCGGTGAGAGCAATATAAAATAGCGAATGATGCAAATTAATGGGTTATAATAATTAAAAAGTTGGTTCTAAGTTCGTAGAAAGGGCAGACACAACGAAAAACACCGTCTCTCAACAATACTTCCATTTGGATTATAAACGGTTCTGACGATGGTGGATGGCACACTGTGTTTTTGGACTTTTTCAATCGTCCGGAATTCTAGGTAATAGAAGACACGACGTTTCGGAGTTGTCCAGTGATTGAGATTAGCTCTTCCTAAGGGGCCCAACTGAGTAGGTGTCTTCGTTCCTCACCTGAAGACGGAAACAGATCCAGTTTCCGAAACATCGTGTCTTCTGTTACCTAGAATTCCAGACGATGGAAAAAATCCAGAAACCCAGTAATTCTCTGAATACTTCCATTATTGGGCGTTATCGCTGAAACGTGTTTACAGAGCCGTTGAATAGCAATTGACTACTCCTCTGTCTCAACAAATCCGGCCTTCGGGCGTCATGTCACAATATTGTAGTTGTGCAGACGAAATTTTCATAACATCTCTATATCTAACAAAACATTGCGCTCCGATGCAGTAGCCCTCAGTCTATATTCTTCTCTTAATTTGAAAGACCAAGTTTCACACCCATGTACACGGACATAAAACAAGAGGGAAATGTTTACGTATTTTTAAACGTATGTTGTATATTCTAATCGTTATGATTTTAGATAGTAGTTGAGTTGAGTGCAGATGTGTTTATTTGTGATTACAGAAGTGAACAGTTTCCTTATGAACATTAAGGGGGTGCAGACGATTCAACGAGCCGATCGCTTCTCACGGAAGCTGAGGCATCGCCTGACCGAATACACAGTGGCCGAGCTGAAGGTGCTTAGACAGTATAGTGAGGACGCCCTACGTCTCGTGCTCTACACAGGGGAACTGGTAAGATGTACTTCAAAGTACAATGGAGAACAGGTGATCGGGGTGGACTCTGCCAGGCGAAAGCTGTTTTCAATTTTTCTTAAAAACAACATCAAAACAGCTCTCATTTATGTAGTAACGGTAGTGTAATTGAAGCACCATGTTACAAGCTGGAAGGTGGCGGGTTTGAGTCCCGATGAGGTCACTGGATTTTTTTTTTTTTAATTTACCAAATCCTTCCAGCCGCACTGTGGCCCTGAGGTCGACTCAACTTCTAACAGAAATGAGTACCAGGAATCTTCCTGAGGGGTAAAGGGCGGCCAGCGAGTAAGGATGACAATCTCACCGCCATCTGTGAGCAGATTGTCTAGAAAATGTAGCAGCCTCGGCGTCTCACAACCCTATGGGCCTCCACGGCCTGTTACAGGGATAGCTTTACCTTACAGCGTACTACACGCATATAAGAGAATGTTAGATCCTTGGTTCTCACGGCGGTGTCTATGAAGAGTGTGGTTTTCGGGTTATATCGCCGTGTAGATTGGAGAAATCCTGACGTTTCGGAGGAACATATCGCCTTCATCTTCAGGGTCGAAGGGAAAGACAAGTAAGAAAGGAGCATAAACAGGTGGCAAGCTCAACTGCTTTCTTGCTTGACTTACTCTTTTATCCACAATACGGAAAAAATATGTTCCTTCCGAAAAGTGGGGTTGTTTTCGAAATTCTTGGCTTTAGAACTCCTAATTTTGTTGCAGTGTACTGTGATGAAGATTCAGTAGACTTTCACGTAGTGTTTGTTGCATGTAGTTCTAGCATAGAACGCTTGATGTACGTGCATACATAGGATGCATTTCTGCAGCTGGCGAAGGACCCCAAAGCGCTTAAAGAAAAGCTAGCGGCACTTTGGGAGGACCTCAGCAAAGATGAACCGGTGAAGCAGGAGAGGCCCGCCAACCTGGAGCAGCTGACAGTGATGGTGACAAAGGAGTTGGCCCGCCGCGTCGTCCATATTGTCAATTACTCGCGAGGAGGCATCGCTGCCTTGTCTCCTATCATCTCGCAGTCACTTCGCGTCACCGCTGTCTATTGTACTCTACTGGCTGACTTCGTTGTCAAGGTAACACTACACATCCTTATCAGAGAACCGGAGTCGAGGTTAGTTAGGCTTATCGTATTATTATTATTATTATTATTATTATTGTTGTTGTTGTTGTTATTATTATTTTTATTATTATTATTATTATTATTATTATTATTATTATTATTATTATTATTATTATTAACTTCTATATGTGTGTGTGTGTACGTGTATTGTCCTTTCTCGCCACAAAATGGCATAACCATTGGAAATGTACTTATTTTATGTTTCTCGCACGTTAACGCTAACTTTAATTTTTCTTGGAATTATTATTAATTTATTGCCATTATATAGACTGTCATATTTTGTATTTTGCTCTTCAATTATTTTGTGCATTTCAGTGTACTCGTGCTAACGTTGTAATTTTACCTCTTTGCTGTTAAGTTTGCACGTAAATAAAGAAGAATTGAATTGAATTGTTATTGGGAACCGGAATAGCACAGTCGATATAGCGACTTTGCTACTCGTTGGACGACTGAAAGGTCGGAGTTCGAGTCCCAGTAAGGTCATGATTTTCTCTCTTTGACGTCGTCCAGACCGGCTCTGTGGTCCACCCAATCTCCTATCTAATGGGTACCGGGGGCTCTTTCCCCAGGAGTAAAGCGGCTGGGATTAGAAGCTGACCGCTCACCTCCAGCTAGTTCCGAGGTCAAGAAAATGCCCATCTGTATATTCAATCTCCCATATGCCTTCATTGCATAGTGCTTAATTAGTTAAGCACAGGGACAACTTTATTATTATTATTATTATTATTATTATTATTATCATCATCATCATCATCATCATCATCACTTCTAAGTAATATCTTTAGTTTTTGTTATTTTTGTATTATCATAATTAATCAGATATTCCAAATTTCATGCTTTATATTTCGTGTATGCTTGTTTCCCCGATCACAGTGGCCGCGCGGTCTAAAGCATGAAATGTCTTCGCCCCTCGAACACTGGGATCGTGGGTTCGTATCCCAGTCAAGGCATGGATGTCTGTGTGTTTCCTCTTGTTTAATAACACTGTCCTCCAGCAAGTCCGTTGCTGGCTGGAATGTTACAAGCAGACTGGTTTCTGACCACGCCTGTTCCTATTTGCAGACAACAAATCTTGACGGAGCGAAGGAGACTGTCATTGCCAGGGCCAGGATCCAGCTCATCAAACTGCAAGATATCCTCAAGGATGTCAATACCTTTACATCGCAGCTGCTGGTAAGGACTGGTCAACTTCTGAGCACACAGATGTAAATGGTTCTGCCGTAGGAAGGTTTCATTTGCTGTCATACGAGTATATAGACAGAGAGAAATGGGAAATGCACACAGAATGTTAGTCACAATACCTGAACAGAAGACGTCTATTTAGATGAGTATTAAAACGTACGTTGCAAGGATGTGGACTGGCTCATGATAGAGATCAAAATTAGGATCTTGTTAGCGTGGAATTTCTGTATTAGCTTGGCGACTGTTAGCTTCTCAAGAAGGGCTGTGTTTTATGGACTGGGGCCCTTACATGTTTACAGCAACATTGTCAGAACTAATAAACTCAACCCCGTGGCTTTTAGTCCGCTCTTGTCGGCAAAATTAATGCCAGCTTTAGCGGATAGAGGGTGTCGCGTGGTAAGCGTAACTGATTCCCACAGCCGTTAATCTCGGATTTCTAGACCGGTGTCAGAACTAATATTAGAAAGATGTACTTATATGGAATATACATATTTTCAGGAAGCTTTCTTCCGTATTCACATTGGTCCTTGTCATTGGTCTTGATGTTAATTTCTTTCATATGTAAGGCGGCATAGCGAAGTACAATGGTGATGAGATTTAGAACTGTCAGTTATGTTGTAATGTTTATGTTCTGTGTGTAGTTACCTGCATGGCTAGTACAAAGTGATCTCAGTTACTGAGGCATTGCATCTTAAGGATGTTGCGATAACAAATCAGATGTTATAATTAATTCAAAGTAACTTTAGATTTAAATCATAATGCTCAGATTCGAGAGTAGGAATCTGAGTGCCAGTTATCATAAGATAAGTACTCTGGGGGTAAAGGACGGCCGGCACATAGGACTAACAAACTCACCGCCATCTGTGAGCCGATTGTGTAAATATATGTGGGAGCTTCCATGTCTCACAGCCCTGTGGGCCTCCACGAACTTTTACAGGGATAGCAACTTTTTACCTTACTATAATTGTTTCCTTCATTGTGTTCCTGAAAACATTGGACCCTACCATCAGTCCACGTTAACTGAACAATGCTGTGTCACTTTATACAAAGATATCGAGTGATTCTAATTTATAGTCGGTGTTTCAGTGACCTATGATTTTCAAACTGGAAACAATAAAATAAGGCCGCGTATTGAACTTGTTTAGCATTCTGCAGTATTCATTCTATAGATAATAAAATATTACAACCCCAACATTTTAATACATATCCATATTTATTTCCATACTTCTTCTTCTTCTACCTTAACGAATGAGGCCCTTCTGCCTATGCCCGTTCAGAATTAATAAATTTTGAAATTTGAATCTTACAGACAGTCGGTAGGACTCCTTGAACAGGGGATCAGCCCGGTTGCAAGGCCGCTACATAAGCAGGACAACATAAATACAGAATAATAGTAAACAGCCATGCGTGGGATTCAAATCCACGATTCCAGTGTTTGAGCGGTCAAAAATATTTCATACTTTAAATGGCGCGACCACCGTGATCGGCTTAATTACGTTAGGTTACACTGATTTTATTTAAAAATACTCCACCGAAATAGGCTATTAAGTTATTTAATTTTAAATAATGTAGAAAAAAGAGACTCAAATATCCGAAATATAAACGTACAAGATTGTAACGTCATGTTTTCATGTTGCCTCTAAAGGGGAAAACTATTCAACTTCCGGTTATTGAGCATTTTCTTCTTGTCGTGTAAATCAGGTTATACCTGCGTTTGTATTCTGTTACAAGTGTAAATATTGGTTGAAATCAAATGTATATATTTTCATTTTCTAAGGCGAAATTTCCGAATGTATGTACTCCTTTACGCTATATACATTTTCATATATTTTAAGGCGTAATTCCTAGCGAAGAGATTGGTGTAGCAGTAACGCTTTTAGATTGCATTCTGAAGGTGGTCGGTTCGAATCTCTGCCGAGATATCAGCAGTACAGACTGAATTTTTTCGTTTTTCCTCCAGGCCCTCCAGGCTGATGCTGAGGGGTAGCACCTCGATTACGTAACGACCGATTCCTTCAACATTGTCATATTTATCAATTTAATGCATTATATATTTTGGCTAGTGACAGAATCGTAAAATAGCACACACACGCACACACACACACAAGTATGTAATCCCTAATAAATAACCCCCCTTCCATTACTCAAACTTATATATTTTCTTTAAATATAGTCGATTACCGTTTCGTTGCTTACTGAACCGAATTTTAGAATTTTTTTTTTCTTTTGCTCTTCCCTGTAAGGTGCATCATTTCACGGTCTTTTCTCAGTATGTTGTAGAATGTTAATAAAGGACAGTGAGCATTGGTGACTGCACTACCTCAATGGTTGGCTGACGTCACTGAGCTTGTCAACCTCGCCAGTGCGCACGCGAATTGTCAACAGTCGATTGACAACAGAACGAATATCGCTTGGGCTTTTAGACACGCGATCGTCGATGTGTCGAATCATCGATCAGCCGGAAGCTATCTCAAGTTCGTTGAATTTGAAACACCCATTTATTTGTACAAGTGAGACAGAATTTTAAGCCGCACATGTTGTTTCAGGTTGCTAAGCTCGTAATTTTTCCGAACCAAACAATGTCAGAGAAACTGATCTTGCTCATGTACGAATATATCAAAATACCAAACAGCTAACTCTAAAGCGATCGTTCGTTAGAAATATTCCCGAAAAAATATGAAGTATTTTACGAGAAAACTTCTTAAAAAGTGCCAGTTACGAATAAGAATTTTTAACGCCATATATTGATTCATTTTAATGCGTCTATACGCACGTTGTTTTGACCATTTGTAGCATTTAGGATAAATTGGAGTCCTCGTGAGAGAACTGTCTTTCATAACGCTAAATTAAGGGTTCAGTTAAGGGCCGAGCCATAGCTCAAGCGGTTAGTCGCTGGCTTCCCACCGCGGCGTCCCGGGTTCGATACCGGGGTCTGGTCAAGTGGGATTTGTGGTGGACAAAGTGGCGCTGGGGCAGGTTTTCTCAGAGTACTTCGGTTTCCCCTGCCCATCTTCTTTCCACCAATTGCTCCACAATCACCCTCACCTATCATCTGGGGCTGGTACAATAGGCCAGAAGTGGCCGCAGTACAAGGGACTTAGTCCCAACCCCACTAGCAATAATAAAAAAAAGGGATCAGTTATAGAGGCCGGGTGTAACCCAGTACTACATCTGTCTTATTGTTATTGCAGGAGAGGATTGCGCTACAAATTGCAAAGAAGCATGAGGATACCAAGAGAGTTGCACATAACACTCACAACAACGGACAGCATTCTGGGTCGAACAATTTGAACGCTGTTGACTAAATTTATCACAACATCCTAATTTCATTTAAATTGTAAACTGGAGTAATTTACAATAATATTGCTATCCTTTGAACAGTTTTATAAATAATGTTAAAATAGATATAATAATATTACAGTGCAGTAGATAAACAAAATAGCCAGATTAGTGGAGTAAGTTAAGAGGATTAGTGATTTTTTTAATAAATATTTACCCAAATGATTCGTTATTCAAATGGCACTGAACATGGCTGCTTAGAAATGCAGATTTAAGAAGGGAGCTGCCTAGGCATTGTTATTGCAATCACCAACACTATCAGAATTTCAGCAATCAAAATAACATCCATTACCAGTACTCTGAAATCACTACAATCACAGTAATTACCACAATCACGACTGTCATCGTCATCATCATCATCATCATCATCATCATTAGCAGCAGCACCGCCACTACAATATCAGTCGCTAGTTCTGAAATCACATAACACCACCATCACAACATTATCATAAATGTCAAAGTCACACCATTGTAATCACTATCATCAACTTCATAAAAATTACTACCATTGCTACGCAGCCAAAATCACAATTTTCATTCCCACAACTATCGTCATCAACATCATCATCATCATCATCATCATGTATGTTTCATCCCTGTTGCTCTTTTATGACCTCATCTTGCATCCTCCTTGTTCCCGTTGGTATATCCTCCCGTAGTCTTGTCCTATAAATGCTGCGCATTTATCCTGGAATCTTCATTGAATAATCTGATTTGTTCTACATGTCTGAATTAATTAAATATATTAGTTCATTTGAAAATGCCAAATTTAATGGCTCACAGCTCTTAGATCTATGTCTGAAATTAGTAATTATATTACATGGGTTTCTAAGATTATCCAAAAACTTATTTCTGCATTCCTGATTTATTCATACAATTGTCTCATATTTAGAAAAGAATATCCTTTTTGTTCTTTAATTGATAATTATTGCTATATTTCTGTCACAAACATTTTAATTTGCAGGCGTGAACAACACTTAATTTCCAAAGCTTTGGTAACCGTTAGATGTATGAATGTGAGACATTTTCTTGGAGGAACAAACTGAATTTCAATATTTTACTTATTGTCAGCTGTGTCTGGCCCTGTGTGTTAACTACAATAAAAATGTAGTTGTATGGGATTAACATTTTTATTTACTGAAATGTTTTATTGTCAGGTTAATCAGCTAACATACCAAGTTGCACAAGTCTTATTTACAATAAAATATATATGTTAACCAAATTTATGATGACATTCTGATTGAAGTTAATTTAGTATAATTTATGGTGTCATTAATTCTCTGTAACTGTATCACACATAATTATATTTTATAGTAAACTGTTAAAACATACTCATGTAAAGGCCTATATCATTGTGTTGTTAAATAAATAGTTTATTTAGGTGTTTGTATGTATTAATATTCATTGCACGAGTTTTGATTTCCAATAGACATTTCCTTCCATGTGGTAACTGAAAACTGGAAGGAACATGGGCTCTGGCAGGGGCAAACCAGGTGCCTGCTTTCTACATGTTTATTATTATTATTATTATTATTATTTTTTGAAAAACAAATCAGAATTGAAGAAAAGAAGGAAATATACAAAATATTGATAACAAAATTAACGACATGCCGGGATCGTCGGTTCGAATCCCACTCAGGGCATAGATGTTTAGTGTTTGTGTATATGATGCGCGTGCGCGCTTTCCTGTGTTTATGTAGAGGTAGAGGCCTTGCGACGAGCTGATCAACCGCCGAAGTAGTTCTACCGAATGTCTAAGATTAAGTAAACCGAAATGAAACTGAGAGTTTCATGGAGCTAGGCCAAGGCCCAAAACTGGGGCTGTAGAGCCAGAAGAAGTAGATATAAATGTTCCCGTTGTGGAGGTAGGATAGAATACCTCCACCCTAGCCACGCGAGTCGTAGAAGGCAATGAAAAGGAAACTCGGCGCCTGGGGATATGTCACCCTCTCACTGTGGGACATTAATAAAGGACTTGGTGCTCCAGGTAGGGGGTTGTACGCAAGGCTGACTTGCTTAAATTCGCTTAGTGGGGGGTGGAGTCCAACTGGGTCCACTCGGCACGGCGGCCACTGATTGGCCTATTGTAGCCTGCCCCGGGTGATTATGATGATGAAAAATTTGGTGCAATGAAGATTGGCAGGGCCGCGCCATGGCTCAAGCGGTTAGTCGCTGGCTTCCCACCGCGGCGGCCCGGGTTCAAACCCGGGTCTAGTCAAGTGGGATTTGTTGTGGACTAAGTGGCACTGGGGTAGGTTTTCTCCGAGTACTTCGGTTTCCCCTGTCAATCTTCATTCCACCAAAAAACATTCNCAACTATGGCGCGGACCAAGGCTGACGACCTTTCTCTGTAAAAATTATTGTTGTGAAATCCAAATAAGCGAACTCCGGACCAAATTATGTAGAATCTTCCAAGGAAGGTCATGGCTCAAAAGTGCTGTTTTACCGACGACGATGATGACGATGTTTACGAAATAATTGTGCTTTTGACACAGCTGTTGACCTGTAAAAATATACATCTAAAAGCATCTTCATTAAAACACGAGTAAAAAGGTAAAGTTGTCCCTATGCTTAACTACTTAAGCACTACGCCATGAATGCGTATGGGGGAGTGGATGTATAGATCCACATTTTCTTGACCTCGGTACTAGTTGTAAGTGAGTGGTTAGCTTCACGCCCCGGCCGCTTTACCCCCGGGGAAAGAGCTAAAGAAAATTCTTGACCCCACCGGGACTAGAATTCCGAATCCTAGGTCGTCAAGCCCATGGCCCATGGGTTCTCGGTACGGGACAGCACGGTACACATATATTTCCAGGAAATCTTCCCTTTAATAACGCAGGTTCATACCATATTTAATTTGAAGCCCTGCGACTTCTGCATGCATTCAGCACAGGTCTTTTTTTGAGACCTTATCTAAGACGTGAGGAGAATTGTGGATTAGTGTGGCAAAAATTAGCAAGGCAGTGGTTGCAGCTGCATTGTGGAGGGGGAGAGAGGGTGATGCATTCTAACAAAGGCCCTGTTGTAAAGAAAACACCCCTTACAGTCTTTATTTCAGTTAGTAAACGCGATCTAAGCCGGTCACGGTAGCCGAGCGGTCTAAGACATGCACCGTCTTCGCTCGCTCGGACGCCGGGATCGTGGGTTCGAATCCCACTCAGGGCATGGATGTTTATGTGCGTTTTTCTGTGTTTGTGTAAAGGTAGAGGCATTGCGACGAGCTGATCACCCGCCCAAGGAGTCCTACTGAATGTGTAAGATCTAGAAAAACCGAAGTGAACGGAGAAGGTAGGCCTAGGCCCACTGGGGCTGTAGTGCCAAGTGGGGGGGGAACAAAAAAAACGCGATCTAATCCACTGCACTGCTCAGTCTGTCAAGACAGTACGTCATGCAGACAGACAAGGATGTGCCCAAGTGACGTCAAATGAGTAACTATTACTTGTTGAAGAAAACAACTTTTATTTGGACCCTTGGACTGTTACTATCATATGTATTTGTAGATTGCATTATGACTCCTGAACAACACTTTGATCTGCTGTTCGTAGTTATGTCATTCAGGCCAGAAAGGGACTCAGGAATTTGTTAATCATCTGTCATTTGTCATCAAGAGAGGCACTGATGGATGAGAGGAGCTTTCCTTCATGACACGCGACTGATGAATTGATGGTGAGTCACGTGATCAAGTTAACTTTTCATACTCTTCACGGAGTAAAGTCTGCTGACGGTGGGGTAAGGGAGAGAGAAGATAATGAATCAATTACTTATTTACTCTCGTTTTATTTAAGGGCAACCGGTCACGGTAGCTGAGCGGTCTAAAGTATGTACTGTCTTCACTCGCTCGGCAGCCGGGATCGTTGGTTCGAATCCCACACAAGGCATGGATCTTCGGTATGTGTTTATTCTGTGTTCGTGTTATCCTGTGTTTAGGAAGAGGCTTTGCGACGGGCTGATCCTCGTCCAAGGAGTCCTACAAGTCTGTAAAATGATCAAAATGAAGTCGACACCTCAAAGATATGAGAGGAACATGCTCGTATTAAGTAAGTTATTTAATAGCGCTTTAAATTGCTAAGCTGCTTAAGTCAGTTAAGTTGATTAGTGAATAATGAATTGGAAAATACGTGGAAAGAAGCGGCTGTTTAATTTGAAATGCTATCCTGACACTGTGAAGGGCAACTGAGGAAAATTATAAAGCTCCTCAGACAAGATATTTCTTCTCTTAGACGTTATGTAAACGGGAACGTACTGATTACGAAGCAGTAATGGTGATTAACATCGTTTTTGTTAATTTTTGTGGCCTTTCCATTTGTAAAAGGTCTAGAAAAAATATCTGACTCAGCAACTAACCAACTATGTGGTATATTCCATGGTATCAAATGTATCTCAGGGAAAGGGAATTGTGCGACATAATCGTGTAATATCCGTGGTTGTAAACATGTCTGAGAACCCCACTGCACTCAAGGTCCCCGGATTTTTTATTTTTCATTGGCGCTACAGCCCTCGTTTGGGCCTAGGCCTGCCTCCATGAAACTCTCCGTTTCACTTCTGGAACCCTGGATTACTAATTCTTAATTCCCTCAAACTATGTTTATTCTTAATTCTTAAGAATTATGTAAAATATAATTGTAGCTATACATACTTGTAGCAGGTCCCTAATTCAGTAATATTCAATTTAGTTGTATTCAGAAGACATAAGTGCAGACGGCGAAACATAGACGCTGAAGTAATGCCGGTCGGGGAACCGAAGCAGAAAAGGCGCAGGGACCGAAAACTGGCCGCGGAGCGCCGCCACCAGATACCGAAAAACTTGACGCGTATAAATTGTGGGCCCCACAAAGAATTGGCCGTCGACCACAGAAGGACAACACGTCGGGCGAATGTGGCACGACTCAAGATAGACATCCTCAGGAACACCGCCCAGAAAAAGTGTGGACCCACGAGAGGTTGGGATTCGCCAGCAAGGGAACGACCTTCCGTGCCAGAGTAGCAGGGCGCAACAGGGTCCCCAGAAAGAACTGGGTCGGGGACAGCATACTGAGGGGAAACGCGACAGGATACACGTCCGGGAGGAGACATCAGCCGAAACTGGGATGCAGCAAGGGCGTGAGAAGCCGAGATGTAGAAGAGCCTCGACATCCGAGGAAAGGGAGGAAAACCGCAAACGGTATAGGAGGATGGAGTGGAAGACAGCAGCCGCGACTGGAAAAGAAAGAATCTAACAGGACATACAGGAAGACGACTGGACTAGAGATCGAGAAGCGTATAGCCAAATCTTCCGTCGGCCTACGCAAAACAAAGATTGGACACTGTGGAAGGGTCGACCCCCTCCAAAGCGGAAGAAAGAAAACGGCCCGCATGGGAGGAACCGGTAGTAGAAGCACCGGCCTCCCTAGCAAGAATGAATGAGGAAAGGATGAAAGCGAGGTATGAATGTGAGGCAAGGCGACCAACAAATTCTGGACCACGAGAGTGCTCGGGGCGAGCATCACTGAAGAGAGGGGCGGATGCGGTTGGATGACCAATGCAGACGTTGCCAGCAAAACACCTTAGGAAACGAAACCAAGGGAGAACCTTTAGGCTGTTCGGGGAGCAATGTCACATGTTCGGAATCCAGAAGACACTTCCATAGTAACGCAAAACAGACCGTTGCATTGGTAGCGACAATAGCGGTATTGTAGCCCCAACAGTTGGCCGTTGCGTAGGTATTGCAGTATCAACAAAGCGTATCCCTGGTGATAGACAACAGAGGGTCGTTTGCATAGCAGCGGCCGAGGTTATAAGAAGGGGTTGAATGGATTCACCGAGACAGTCTCAGGATAGACGCCGAGAGATACAGAAGTCAGTCTTCAGGAAGCTGCCGCTGAAGGTAGTTGGGATCTAGTCTCCATACAAGACGGTTGGAAGGTAGCCGCCGCGGAACACAGTTAAGGTGATAATTGTACGGTGTATAAGACTGAGTGTCCAATAAAGATTCGCTGAATCCGAGACAATATTTTCATGACTGTAAAGGAACTTTTACAGCTTATTGAAGACATGGAGAGGTTGCAAAAATATTTATGTTTCTCCTGTCACATAAGAACCTGAAAGAGGCCTACAACAATAAGCACAACTTATATATTATTCTAGGCGTTTCTGGTACCCAAAAAATTGAGAACCCATCTACTAGCCGGTGTAGAACATTTTTCAAAACGAGAAAAACAGAACCTTTTAAGGTTGTGAAGCATTTATTATTTGCGACCAGAAATATGTTTGTACATAATATGTTTGTACATAATATGTTAAATTAACGTTATCACTAAAGGCAACAATAAATTTCATAAGATTGACACAAATTTTATATTCCACTTTTGTGATCTGTAGTCATAATTTTGGGGAACGCGATAGCGTAGTTGGTTGAGGCACTATGCTACAAGCCGGAAGGTCGCGGGTTCAAGTCACGATGAGGTCATTGCATTTTTTTCAATTGACCTAATCCTTCCGCCCGCACTGTGGCCCTGGGTTCGACTCAACCTCTAATAGGAATGAGTAAATAAAGTAAAGTAAATATATCCCTGTAACAGGCTGTGAAGGCCCATAGGGTTGTGAGATGTCGATGTTCCTACATTTTCTAGACAATCGGCTCATAGATGGCGGTAAGTTCAGCCTTACGTGCCGTCCGCCCTTTACCCCCAGGAAGATTCCTGGTATTCATTTCTGTTAGAGGCTGAGTCAACCCCAGGGCCATAGTGCGGCTGGAAGGATTAGGTCAACTGAAAAAATCCGAAGACCTCATCGGGATTTGATCCCGCGACCTTCCGGCTTGTAGCATAGCGCCTCAACCAACTACGCTACCGCGTGCCCCCACCTAACAGAAATAAGTGGCAGGGATATTCTTGGAGGTAAAGGGCGGCCGGCGCGTATGGTTGACAACCTCACCGCCATCTGTGAGCCGATTGTCTACAAAATGTGGGACCCTCAACGTCTCACAACCCTATGGGCCTCCACGGCCTGTTACAGGGATACCTTTACTTACTTTATTTTACTAAAGGCAACAATACATTACATAAGATTGACACAAATTCTGTATTTCATTTCTGTGATTTGTACTCATAATTTTCTTAATTTAAAAGTTAATAAGAAAAGTAGGTCGTAGTAGTTTATAAGGTTTATTGGTAATTATTTTTTTGATGTTTCTACACCACATTTTATGTAATTTTTATAGGTTGAGAAACCTCAAACTTTATTATTCATATCAAATGAACCTCATTGTGAATTATTGATCTGGACAAGAGACCTGGACTCTTGTCTCATTCTCTATTGTGACAGAGGCCCTGTAACTTTGACCCTCAGAGTCATATCCGGAGTGGAGTCCCTCAATGAATAGTTAACCACTTTATCAGAAACTTGCCAACAAGAACAGAGTACCAAGACACAAAAGAAGTTTTCCATGAAATACCTGAGCTATATAAAATCGCGCATACTCCTTGCTTACCAGCCTTGTACCTTTTTTGGGGGCCATGAGACGAGTCAGCTAAGCAACTGTTGTGGCTGGTAACTGGATGGGAGACCAGGATTCGATTCCCGGCTCATGAAGGGCTTTCCTCCTTCCTACCTATCCACTGGGTGCAAGGGGATTTGTACCAGATTAAATCTTCCGAAATATTAATTGTTACTCAGGTAACCTAGTAACAAGTATGTTAATAGGCAACTCAATATACTTCATGCATACATCAAGAATCGGGGTACGCAGTAGTGTAGATGGTTGAGGCACTATGCTACAAGGCCAAAGGTCGCGGATTCGAGTCTCGATGAGGTGGATTTCTTTTTTTAAATTTACGTAATCCTTCCAGCCGCCCTATGGTCCTGGGGTCAACTCTGCCTCTAACAGAAATGAGTACCATGAATCTTCCTGGGTAGTAAAGGGCGGCCGGCGCGTAAGGCTGGCAACCTCATCGCCAACTGTGAGCCGATTATCTAGAAAATGTGGGAGCCTCAACCTTTCACAACCCTATTGGTCTTCACGGCCTGTTACAGGGATACCTTTACCTTTTTACACCAAAAATCACCAAAGTTACTTTATCGTAATAGTTAATTGGAACACGATATGGGAATATGATTGAACAATGTTCTGTATATGGATTTAGTCGCATTTTGGGTGAGTCCTGACCTTGTCATTCAGTGTTGTTATGTAAATACATGTCCTGGCGACTCGAAAACTTCCGAATAGAAATATTCCGTTAAAATCTTATTTAATCTCGTTATTCATGAATACAAAATTTAAAATACCTGCTGAATACAAGATGATAAATATTTATCAAATTGGGTATTATTAATATGGCGTAATATCTCAAGAAAGTTGTGGACAGGACTAAATTCTTTAGCAGGTCATATTTTACCCACCCTTGGTCTAGGTCGTGGTTTCTTAAACTGTGAAACTCGCCTCAAAGATGAGGCATTAAGCAAAGCAATGGTATGTGCAAAAAAATATTCTTGCACTGAATAGGCTATTTTAACAGCCTCATTATTTACCTTAAGCAGAATGTCCGCGCTATAGCTCAAGCGGTTAGTCGCTGGCTTCCAACCGCGGCGGCCCGGGTTTGATCCAGGGTCTGGTCAAGTGGGATTTGTGGTGGACAAAGTGGCGCTGGGGCGGGTGTTCTCCGAGTACTTCGGTTTCACCTGCCAATCTTCATTTTACCAAATTTTCCATCATCATAATCACCCGGGGCAGGCTACAGTAGGCCAATCAGTGGCCGCCGTGCCGAGTGGACCCAGTTGGACTCCACCCCCCACCAAGCGAATTAAAAAAAATACCTTAAGCAGAGATTCCGAACCCTATTGTTAGTTTTTTCTTTTTGACCATCTCCACGCTTACTCACTTGTATCAGAGTTTATTCAGAAATGGTTTCTATTCCCCTGATATTACTTTTCGCCTCAGGGGTTGCATCCCGCTGTTTAAGAACAAGAAATACCTAACAGATTAAGGAAATCGAAAAAAAGAAAAAAGAACCTTATAGTCATGGATTCGAATCACGGTCCTCCCGAATACGAAATAAAAGCTTCAGTCACATGTATCAGAGACTGGATTAAACAATCTTTGGTTCATTTACGGGTCAGTGTTATTTATTATGAATAAGAATATAGCGGATTTCTTCGCTCTGTTCACTTCTCTCCACCGGCGTTTCCATCATGACAAGATAATTTGCCTCTTGTTTCACAAACATAGTTTTGGTTTCAGAGCATTCAAGGGCCTTCAATAATCGATTTATAGATCTATGTAAGTAGGTTGCCGACCACAGTGCCCGCAAGGTCTAAGGCATGAACCGCCTTCGCCCGCTCGAACACTTGGGTCGTGGGTTCGAATCCTACTTGAGGCATGGATATGTGTGCCTTTACTCTGTGCCTGTGTTGTTCCTTGTGTAGGTAGAGACCTTGCGACGGACTGATCCCCCGTCCAAGGTGTCCTACCGACTGTGTGTAGGAATAGGAAACTGAAAAAGCGGCCAAGGTCCAAAAGGACTGTAGATCCATGGGGGGAAAGAAAAGAAAATAAGGTAATAGGGAGTTGACAAGACGTGAATCCTCATGCAGTTCAAACCCTGTCCTAAGTCCAAGGGCACAACGTACGCATACGTGACCGCATGTGACTAGATATGTTTGAAGGCTCGCTCGCTAGACCGGAATGACGTAACTAGCAAACACGTTGGACGGCTGGAAGAAGGAAGGGAACATGTTTGTCCAATGCAGTTATGCAGCCATAAATTATATTTGAGGTCTTGTTTGTTTGTCATTCATGTACCGACGCTGTCCCAAATGCAGTGTTGCAGTCGGGATAGCTCAGCTGACGTAGGGAGTGGCTGGTTGATATTTGATTGTATGCAGAGAGATGCAATGTTAGACGGGGGGAGGGGGGGGGAGTGTAGGCGACCATTGCCTTCGCTATTCCCAATTCCAGTCTCCCAGTGCACTGTTTTAATGTGCATAATAAAACAATAAATTCGCATTTAACACATACAGCATCATTCTGCTACGTAAATCAGAGATTAAGTGTAAAATGGCTCTCTTTCTGTGCCCCAATATTGTTTACAAGTATCAAGTGAAAAATCATATATATGCATACAAATTAAATTTTCGGTTCTTGCTATGGTGAGTATTAAAATTACACTTCTTTGGGGGTTGTGACGCCGTATGATATAAATATATCTACCAAATTTCACGGAATCACATACCAGAAGATAGTAATCTTAGTACTAAAATAATAACAAGACAATGCATTACATTTCTAGAAAGGAAGATTCTTATTGGCTTAGAAAATTCCAGTCCTAATTATTTATAGCATCCTTCCTAAGCGTCAGTTTAAAACAGCAGGCCTCGAGCGGTGTAATGTACAGTATACACGCGGTTACATAAAGTTTGGTCACCCTTGAGAGCGTACCAAAACTTCCACAAGTTTCTACGTAAAATGACTGGCTGTACGTGTTGTGATTGGTAGTTTAATGAAATGAGTGCGTGCCCAGTGCGAGTTTCATACTCCTTGAAAACGAACCAACTGGCGGAAGTATAAAAGTAATGCAATCTGAGGTTGTATGTGGCAATACTGGATAGTCTTTAGGAGGAAATAGGCAGGTTTTGTGGTTATCATTTCACGTAAATTTGCCTACAAGTAGTACTGCTAGGTAAGGAGTTAACATTCGTCGTACCGTTATGTATTGTTCATAGGCTGAAGATTTTCATTATTTATGGTTTATATCAGCGGACTTTGACGCATTCCGATAATTTAAACTTCTAATCAGTAACGTAACTTGATTTAAATAATTGTGAAATTATAACTATTTTATAGTGATACGCGAAAATGGAGACCAGCACAGCAAAAGTGGATCCTCAAACAACTGCCATGCCACACCTGGAATGCGTGGACAAGATCTGGAAGATTCCTTTTATTGAAATGGCATGGAACCAGTCAGCAGGAATGTATGGAAAGGTGAAGGAAGCTAACGGAGTGTTCAACTGGACATTGTCAACAGCAGAGGCAGCTGTGCTAAAGGCTATTGAACAAGCTGCACCCATTGCAAAGAAATTGGAACAACCCATTCATGCAGTGGATCAGACCCTGTGCAAAGGCATTGCGATTGTGGAAGAAAAGCTTCCTCTTGTGAAAGAGCCTCCTGAACATGTAAGTTCATTAAAATAACCACTGCATCACAGTGTTTTATTCAGATATTCAAACATAATAAGTATTCAAGTTGAGTGGATTATAATAGTGTCTTTGAACTTCCACGGTTCCAGCGCTGTGTTTATTTAATACTCAAAAATTATTCTAGGATATGTGCTAACATCACTTTTTGCATTGCTTGCCTATAAGCATGTTTTATAAAAATATTAATAAAAATTGTGGGATACATGAAGAACAAGGAACCAAGAGAATGAGGCCCAATTTGGTTCATTAAATTTTAATTTCCATATTAGTATGTGTGCTCACGTTTTATTAAGTGTAGCCTGATTTTAAGATCTTGCTAATAGATCAGATAACTGGTTAATGTTAATGTAATTTAGAATATTTTGTATTGTGTCTGCTGACTAGATACCAGTCTGACATTCACACTATATAAAGGTAGGAAAGGTAGGTGTAATCTTTAAATTTGCAGCTTTGGAAATTAATGTGCCCCCCCCATTACAAAGTTATCCCTATCTGGATTTGTTGTAGGGTAAATGAAGGAGAATTTGCTTAGGGTTAATGAGAGTGGAAAAGATAAACTGAGATTGTAAGTCAGAAAGTGTAGGAGGATAAACATCCAGTTTTTCAAATGATTTGTAGCTCCTTCTGATGGGCCCAACCGATTAAGTAATTCCTCATGCTTTCACCTGATGATGGAAACATCCAGTTTCTGAAATATTGTGTTTCTTTTGGAATACCAGACATTCGGCAAAGGTCAGAAACTCGGTGATCATATCATCGTTAATTTTTAGAGTTGTGTTACAGGTACTGTTTGAAAGGATCCCAGATTGTACGCTGTCTGGAATAGAGTTGTCAGTGGGTAAATTCCTCCACTCCTTTGCTCTGAGAGCATATTGCAAGTTGTATAGCTGCCCCAGCTTTACCTCTTCACTGACATTCCGATTCTGGTGGGAAGTCTGTTATTGCAGTTCTGGTGAATACTTAACAATGTGCCCTTGATAATAGTGAAAAAAAAGGAAGATATTTTTACTGCTGGATTCTTTACTTTACTATAAAATACTAAATATTTTGAAAAGTACGGTCTTCTGGGATATGATAAAGTTGTTCCTACGCTTAACTAATTAAACATAATGCCATGAAGGCGTATGGGGGAGTGGATGTATAGATCCACATTTTCTTGACCTTGGCACTGGTTGGAGGTGAGTGGTCAGCTTCACACCTCAGGAAAGAGTCCCTGATGCACCTTCTGGCAGCAAGAATGCTGAATCACATGTCATATATATATATATATATAAAACGGATTTGAGGTTCTGACAGCAGTAACTATATATATTATTTATTATGTAAGTGACTGACAACTGCCATTGGATATGCAGACTCTTTAACATTTTGTACGCTCAAATCCCTCAGAATGAGTCTTAAATTGACTCTGCAGGTCAGCAATCCATGTAGACTGGCTAAGTGGCCAATTTTCTACAAATCACATGCCTGTGATGGTGATTCTCAATCTTGTGCATCTTCTATCCCACCAGTAATTTTGTCAAAAAGTGTAATTACACCACACTAAAAACAATGATTGAAATTTTCTAATAAGTGTATGTTTACAATTGTATACATTTAATATTACATTAATCATTAATGGAAGATCTGAAGAACTTAGGCTGTAACAATTTTTAATGCTTTTACCATAATTATGTTGTGTCATGATAGGTCAGTTGGTATAGTGATGGCATGTGATTTCCAGCATAAGCACTGGATTTCTCTCTTTTCCAGTGTCCAGACCAGCTCTGGGGCCTATCCAGCCTCATAGGCAATGGGTACGGGGGGCCCTTTCCATAAGGGGAAAGCAGCTGGTGCATTAATTTGACTACTTGCCTACATTTAGTACCAAGGTCAAGAATGAAGTTATACTTGCATAAGTCTTCATGGCATGTTGTTTACCTTAATTATATTGTATAAAAACAGAGTTGTTCTCTGTAAGCAGGAATACAACTGTGGTGCAGCTTAATCAGAAGCTTATGCTTTCAGTGCAGGAAAGCTTTTATGTAATTGAATTTTGTGTGAATTTGTTATTAACTTAAAAACTTTGTGTCCCACCCAGCAGACTGTCAAGTCTGTCAAGTGTGTGTGGAATCACTGGTTTTCTGGACTTTGTCCTTTGTCTGGTATCTTACTTACTTTACTTGCACATGGAGCTGAGCCCTTCTTGAGGAGAAGCCAAATCTGCAGCTACTCGAGAATTTCCCAGCATTTTACAGAACCCGAAGGTTCATTACTGTGTTCATAAGAGCCCTCCACTGGTTCCTATCCTTAGCCAGATCAATCCAATCAATACCATCCCACCCTATCTCTCTCAGATCCACTTTAATATTGTCCACCCACCTACACCTTGTTCTTCTCAGTGGTCTCCTTCCTTCTGGCTTTCCCACCAACATCTTATATGCAGTCCTCATCTTCCCCATTCATGCTGCATGCCCTGCCTACCTCATCCTTGACTTGATCATTCTAATTATACTTGGAGAAGAGTACAAGTTATGAAGCTCCTCATTATGCAGTTTTCTCCAACCTCCTGTCACTTCATCCCCCTTTGGTCCAAATATTCTCCTCAACACTCTGTTCTCAAACACCCTCAGTCTATGTTCCTTCCTTAATGTCAGAGACCAAGTTTCACACCCACAGGCAAAATTATAGTTTTGTATATTCTAATTATTTTTTTGGACAGCAGACAAGAAGACAAAAGGTTCTGAACCGAATGGTAGCAAGCATTACCCGAGTTCAGTCTTCTTTTAATTTCCTCCTGAATCAGGTTTTGATTTGTTATCATTGTTCCCAAATATCTGAACTGTGCCACATTTTCAAAACATCTGTTTCCTATCTTTATGTCATGACTCTGCCCTGCATTTTGGTGACGAGACAGCAGCATATACTTAGTTTTCTCTGTGTTTACTTCTAGACCCACGTCCTTACTTCCGTCAGTTAAAGTTGCCTGGTATCTAGAAACTAGAAAACATGATGTTTCGGAAACTGGGTCTGTTTCTGTCCTCAGGTGAGGGGGGAGGGGAGACACCTACTCTGTTGGATCCCACTTACTTAGGTACACTGGTCCATGAAACTGGAAAATTGGAACATCTGTACATGATCATATTAGAACGCATAGTGCAATACCTTGCGCCTAACATTAATGGCTGTGAACATCTGGCTAATTCATCATTGACATTTTGAAGTAACATGTTGCCTCCATTTTCCTGCTGGAAAAGTTAATGAACTATCAGACTCCACAGGATCACATCCCAGAAGATAATAGCTTCATCTTTCATCCTAATTCTATGGACCTGCAGAATCAAAATGGAGGATTGTCTAATTGTCCCATATACTCTGTCACAGACAGCACTGATTGTCCGTAACTGATGAATACACCTTTTATCCATGTCTGCAGGATAATACTTCAATTTTTGGTACAAGGAGAGTTTCACATGTATGTGTCAGAAAGCATATCTTCCATGAACTCAGCGTTATTACCAGTGAATTTATATATATATTTTATCTTCACAGATTTATGAAACTGCCAAGTGCTTTGTCAACTCTGCCCTTTCCCCAACACTGGACACAGTTTCTGCTGTGAAGAATTATGGAACAGAGAAAGCACAGTCCATTAAAGAGTTAAGTCTGAACAAGGCAAATGAAGTGTTGGCCACACGATATGGAAATATGGCACTTAGTGGGTTTGAAACAACTGCCGCACTTGCCGAAAAGTATCTGGATTATTACTTCCCTGCTACAGAACAAGAACTGGAAAAGGAAAATGGTGAGTACATGTATTAAGTACAGTAGACAGTAGGCGTGAAGCTGGATTGGGTATTACTTACTTACTCATGGAGCTGAGCCCTTCTGGAGTTGCCGCCAAATCTGCAGTTACTCAAGAATTTCCCAGAATTTTACGGAACCTGAAGGTTCATTACCGTTTTCACAAGAGCCCTCCACTGGTCCCTATCCTCTGCCAGATCAATCCAATCCATACCATCCCATTCTATATATATCTAAGATCCATTGTAATATTGTCCACCTACCTACACCTTGGTCTTCCCAGTGGTCTTTTTCCTTCTGGCTTTCCCACCAATATCCTATATGCATTCCTCGTCTCGCCCTTTCGTGCTACATGCCCTGCCCACATCATCCTCCTTGACTTCATCATTCTAATTATACTTGGAAAAGAGTACAAGTTATGAAGCTCCTCATTATGCAGTTTACTCCAACCTCCTCCCACTTCATCTCTCTTCGGTCCTCAACACCCTGTTCTCAAAACACCCTCAGTCTGGCAAGAACTTGTACCAAGTTCCACCCTTAATCTGGAAGCAGATCACCATATGTCATAAATAAATTAAAGTGCCACTTTAGAATTTCAAGTAGGGACCACATCAAATTTTTATTATTTTTTTGACATTCCTGAAATATTACAAAGCTTGTTCTAAATTATGTGCTATCTGACCATAAGAAATATAGGTAGAAGTATTGTAAATGATTACAAGCTTAAGTGAACAGATCTCAGTACTTCATATCAGGACACAATATTCAGATTTCATGTCTGGTTTGTGTCTGAAACTGAAGACGATCTGCATAAGCACGTTCATGTTAACCAACTGACTTTACGGAGGGCAGTTCTACATCAGGCAGTTTTTAGTTCTCAGCTAGTCCAAGAAATTTCTCAGCTATTATGGAACCTGAGGGTCATTACTGTGTTCATCATGGTCCGTATCTTGAGCTAGATGAATCACATCGTCACATCCTGTTTCTGTAAGATTCGTTCTGGCTTTATCCTCCATCCTATGCCTAGATCACTGAAGTGGTCTCTTTTAGGTTTGTAGACTGTAATTCTTATCTCTGCTATGTGCCTCAATTGCACGCTCATCTCATTCTTCATGAGAGCTCTTGTGGTAAAGGGTTGTTAGCCCCAAGCAGAAACCACAAGCTGTAGTTTGAAATGAATAAAGCACAAGGTATGTAGGCTGTAGCATGGCAAGACTAAGGAATTCAGAGTAATAAATAAGTTGCATATGAATAACCAAATGTGTATATGAATGGACAGTTATTTCGTTTATTTAAAAAGTGGTAAAATGTGTAAATTGACAAGGGCCACAAATCACTGTCTGTAACATGCATTAGAAACAATACTGTTGAATAATCAAAGACTCTGAAGATACTGTCTTGTGGGATGTGACATTGTGCAGATAGTAAACATGTTTATGAGGAACATACTGTTTCAGTCTTCAGGCTAGAAGGTGGAGAGAGTAGGCTTCTACAAAATATTGATAATGATCTACGAAACTACATGGTTTCATATCCCAGAAGATAATAATTTTCATAATCATGATGCTTGATTGTATGCTTTCCCCTGTGGAATTGTGATAGCTCACGTTAGTGTATTGTTGGCTATGGGATGGATGGTCGAGAACTGGGATTCAGTTTCTGGCAGTGCAGTAGTTGTTCTTTGCAGCATCCAGACCATCTCTGGGGCTCACCCAGCCTCCTGTCCAATGGATACAGGGGCAGGGGTGTGTGGTGGAGCTATAACTCCATTCCCCCATACATCTTCATAGCATGATGCTATGATGATTAAGAACAGGGAACATTTTACCATCTTTTTCTGATGGTAAGATTAAGAAAGAGAAGGATGTAGGGATGTGGTTGTTGTCTGTAGTTCATGTATGTTAATCAGTAAACCATGCTTTTCTTCTGAACATAGCAATTATCTGTGTACCTAAAAGTTTGATCATTGAAATCACACCATTCAGAAATGGCATACGGTTGAACTTTCATTAAGAATATAAAAATGAAATTATTTGTGGTGTTAAAATCAAAGACACCATGAACACAACTCATGGTCGTTTACAATGAGGCAATATGACATAATTTTATCAGAAATTTTCCATCTTTATAAATTTGATGAAAAGAAACTATACAGTAATTGATTTGGCTGGTATGCGAGAAATGTAATATAATTCTCAGTATGAGCTGTCTGGAGGACCTAATGAGGGATCCCTTACAGAGGTCACACTAATCACTGGACCACTCTTATTACCAAGGTTTTTATACATAAAAACATTTAAGACCATGGTTGGTGTCCAAAAAACTAAAAATTATATTACTACTTAATCTGTGAATCACAGATATGGCTAATCTGGACTGCAATTGAATGTTTTCAAATGGTGATCAAAATTAATTTGGCAGTAAGCAGTATGATTCTGTTTAAATTTTCAGGGTCATCTTCAGCTGACGATAGTGACAAAGTTATGCGCACAGTTCATACTGTGGGACACCTGTCTAACAAGTTCGCCCACAGAGTCTACAACATCCTTTCCTCACAAGTGAAGAACCTGAACAAGGACAGTATGCAGCAGTATATAAATTCATTAGCTATCATCATGCATCTTACAAATTATCTGAGCACAGTAAATCAAAATCTGAAGGCTACAACTTCCAGCAGTGAGATTCAACATACAGAAGAAGAAAAATCAAAAAGTCACAGACCAAAGGCAGAAGAAGAGAAATCAACCATAGCATGATGTGTGCCCACAATTTGGATCTTCTGAAATTTGAAGTTGATATTTGTTTTTGTAGAAACAGTATTCTGAGCAAAATTATGTAAACATTACATGTGTTTCTGAAATTGCAACTTTTGCACACTACTGACTCCACAGGGTAAAATCATTGTTGAGAAACTAATAGTGCCTTAGCTGGACAAGAAATTCACACCTTTCATGGAACCAGACAATTGCTGTGTTCTCCAGAACCTGTCATTGGTACCCATTCGAAGTGATATTTGTTCAGTCAACATCCTCACACCCTGTTGCTTGAAGATTCTTCCATCTACATCTAGATCTTCGAAGTATACTGAACTTATTGTTAAGAATGGGAAATGTTTCTAGTTGAAAGCATCACCTCTTGGGTCTCTTTGCATGGCCTTGAACCGTGATTGCCGTACCGTTAATTCAGAAACATAAAGTAAGGGTGCACTAGTCTCTCTGCCACAGCTTCTGGCTGCTAACTCCTAGCATTGTTATTTTTACATTAGCATAACCTCAGCCCTGGGTTTGACACCTTGAGGCTCCATTGAAATGATACTCAGCTGCACCCCACGGATGTTGTCTTTACCACATGGAGATTGCAAGGTGGATCTCTACGAGAATATTTCAGTTTCAATTCTCTTTTCCCATTCTTCTGTCAGATGTGTGACACATTGAGATACATATTTATGTATTTCCATAGACTGACATACCTTGTGTTCTGTCAAGAATTCTAACCAGATCCCCTGTATAAATTGGAAAGAAAATGTCTTATTTTCCAAAATGTAATTATATTTGTATGATAACTTAAATGCTTAATACATTTTCTTGGACAGTAGAACTACTTTAATGCAATACTTTATGCTTTTAAGTATCTACTGTCACTAAATTTTGTCTTTGTCTTTTTTCTTACCTTTGGTCTCTTTATTCTTTGTCCTCCACTTGCTCTTTGAACATATTCTGCCTGACATTGTGACAGAATATAAGTGCTTAGTGGCTATTTGGTTTTCTTTTTATGAACTGGGGTGGTGTAATCAGGACAGTGATCTGGTATGGGCTGGAGGTCTGACTTTTGGTTTCCATCAGAAGCACACATTTTCCCTTTGCATCCTGCCCCAACCTGCGTTCCGGCCATGATTCTTTTCCCAGAGTTAAGAAGGTCAGGGAGTAGAGCTCCAGACTCACTTCTGATTCTGACGTGAAGATTGCAAGGAGATGTTATCCAATCCCCTATACATTTTCATGCTGTCGTGCTTTATGAAGCTTAGGGGCAACTTCAGATTTTGTCAATTTGTATTTGTAATTTAGATTATACTAGGCTTTATTGTACTAATATATTCTCATTGTAATGGTAAAATGTGTAATATATTGTCTGTATTGTGCCAGAAATTAAAAACTATCAGCTAAACATAGCTAGTTGTTAATTACAATGTAATCAGTACTTCACTCTTTATGGTAAGAAGTGCATCCATAGTAATAATTACATTATAATTCTGCATTGTCCCATCCTCTGCATTATTAGGTTACTTTTCTTATTTTGAAAACAAAACAGTAGACTTCCAAACTCACTGTGCTGTCTGCCTGCCTGCCTGCCTGTGAATCGCCCCATCTGAGTCTTTTGAATGCCTGAACCAGTCTTTATGAAACTTCATGTGTATATCATGGCACCTGAGCCCATCTCAATGGTGTACTTCACAAGTCTCTCCCATCAAGTCTGTGTCTGTATGTATATCATTGCTAGGCAATGGTCTGCTAAAAATGTTGCCATGGCAACAAATACATATGCAACAATAGAAAATTGTTGGATGCATTGTTTTGTAGCCGCCCTCCGACGTACAGCTGCCACGACCTTGCTCGACCTTGGTTTCTTTTTCTCAGGATACGGGTGCTTCGGAGATGGGAGTGGAACACACTTCGGGGTTAATAAATCCGGGATCTCCAGAACACTGAATATTGTACTTTTAATTTAAAATTTCCTTCAATGGTTAATATTTGCATTGTCCTTCAAGCTAGCCGCTCCGTCCGCCCTACTCGCTACCCTACTGTTAAACACTTCTCTCTTCTCTATCTACCTTTCAACTACTGTCCTCCGCTCCCTATAACCGACTGCCCTCTCTTTACCAGTCCCCCAGTTGGCCTAAAAAAAAAAAAAAAAAAAAAAAAANGGCCTAAAAAAAAAAAAATAGAAACATAAAAGAGAAAGCCAAGGGTCGAGCCCGGCATCTGACCTACATTTCAAAGAAGCCCATAAATTTCTGTGGGTCGTCAAGGAACCCAAGACACCCTCCTGGCCGATCTCGCACACGGTCAGTTCATGGGTTTATGATACTGGGAGTAAACAGGCGACGTTAGGGACAATAGTGGCACCCTTAGCCTAAGGAGGACAATAGCTGAATTACAACTAGACGGTCCCGGGATGGTATCTCTCCGATGGAGCGTCTCTCATGGTGAGAAACAATGCATCAGTTGAAGAAAGTCTTCTGGGTTTTGGCGCCGTGTATTCTTCGTTTTGGCTGACGTTTCGAAGGAACGTATCGCGTCCATCTTCAGAGCAGGTGAATGGTTTGTGAATGCAGAGAGCAGTAGCTGTACACGGCGCCAAAACCCAGAAGACGACTTTCTTCATAGTCATCGCCGTGGAAACCTCAAAACTTACAATGCATCAGTTGTTCACACCCTTAATTAAATAATTTTGGCGAGGGACGTACGGTTACAGTTTTCTATGCTGTCCATGTCATGTAAGCAATTAATTCTTCCCAAAACTTCTTGTTACTTACCTATATGGTAACACGTACCTATGAACTGAACTGTTAACAACTGAGCACACTAAAACGTTGATATTTTATGAGCCTTTCATCAGTCTCCTATTCAAACAATCAGAAACATGTCATTCTTTAGGGAGTACAGCAACAAGGTATTATATTCAAGATATTGATAGGTTACTGATAAAACAAAATTTTTCATGTGTCTGTAGTGGCTCACCTTACTCTTGTGTTTTGTCACTTGTGGGAGTGACTTTAGATGTTGATTTGGCTTGGTGAATCAATTTATTGGATGGTCACCAGGCGGAACTACAATTATAGCCCTTTTCAGTCTTTCTTTAACTATAACACTTATAACTATGAACAGTAATAACAATAAAGGTTACTATAACTACACCACATAAAATAAAGACTTCACTTCTCACTTCTGTTCCTGATTTTTATGGTTCATTCCTGGTTATAACTGTTAGGTGGCCATGATAGAAGATACCGCCTTGAAGTGTATCAGTTTGTGTATTTCTCTTTTAAGAAGTCGTTATGTGCAACCTACGATTTGTTCCTGATCTCGTGCAAGTAGAAAGAATATCACCTCTTCCATGCGATTCAGCTTCTCAAGGAGCATTTGCTTTCATTTTGAGGGCCCCATGTTGTTTGCAGGCAATGTCCACAGCATTGACCAAATCCTGATGTAGAAGTGTGCAGTCTGTCTGTTTACACAGAAAATACATCATTTGGTGAAGTGTGTTAATTTTTTTTAAGGCAGGATTACTAATGATTTATTGAAGTGAATCCAGTGTGACTCACCTCAACCTTTTCATTTTTCTACTTTCATCTGCTTTATTACAGTAAATGTTTCCTTTAAGTACTGTGCACTCTCTTCTCTGACAAATTTTTGACACCCAGTCTAGTTAACTACGAACTTAATATCCAAATTAGTCTGTTGGCAAAATTCAAACATAGAGTTTTTCATAGTGTGGTCTGATTGTTACTTACATATTTCTAAGTTTTTGTCTAGTCGTTCATATATTTTGTTTCTAATATAATTTGGAATGTATAATGTTTTGTGCATACTGATTAGAACTGAATGTAGCCTTGTGCATGTATGTTGTAATACTGCAAATATGTAACCCTTTGATGCTCAGTACAGAAGGGCCATGGATCTTCATGCACACTGCTGTCTCTTATGAGAATGTCTGAAGATGCAGTGGAGTCGCATTTAACTGAACGTGAATTCAACCACATGTGCTCACAAAAAAAGCAGGAAATTAAAAATTTAAATAGCCCTAATTACCCCCAAATAATGTTGTTGGGGGAAGAGAATGATTATTCATCTGAATATCCAGGATGACTCATGAGTGTCCAGGTTTACTGTTTTTCCTTTTTATTATTTCATTCTCCATCCTCTCCAGTTTTACGTAAATAAAAATAAAATTACTGTACATTTTGTATTATATACACACATACTAAGGGTATATACAAAAGTATGTACTTTATGGGTGATTTTCAAGAGGAGTTCTTATTATACACTATTTTGAATTGTGCACTGTCTTTAGACTGTATTTTCCATGTAAAATGTGATTCGAGTATATTTAGGTTCATGAAAAAATTAGAAGGTGCAGGAAAATCAATAGGGAGTTAATTTCTTAGCGTTGTGCTCTTGAGAGTAAGGGGAAAAGTTTCTTCATGCTTTGTCCTTACTTTATTATGAAATGCTAAGCTTTGTTGATAGCTGGATTTGCATTTGTTATACAAGGAGATAGTCTGAGAGGCTCTAGAAGATATTTGGGGTGATCAGGTGAGAGGGATACAGGCTACTTATATCACCTCCAAATGCATGCGTCTGGTCTTGTGGCTTTGGTAACAGGTCAGTAGCCTGTACACATTACAGTTTCTTCCAAGTATCACCCTAGTAAATTTTTTAACTACTCTGAAGCGATGTTACATACTATTTGAGCGTCGACTATAGTGCCAAGCCCCTGCTGCTGTATTAACATTCAATCACTCGTGTTATTTGTGTCAGAATGCTACATGACACATACTGAAACAAGAGTTCATGTGTTACACCAACATGAAAAGCAAGGGAAATGGTTCGGTTCCGTTAGGACCCTCTTACTACTTGGACTGACCTATGTGCAGAGGCTCTTCACATGTAAGATTATATCCACTGATGGGTTGCGTCCCCTGCTGGGACAATATTGTGCGCTTCGATGCTGTTTATATTAAGCAAAAACAAAAAAACATTCTTTACTTACAGGTCCCTCATAGTAATGGAACAATCCTTTGTGCTGACATACCTGTCATGCTGCTAAGAAGACTTGCATCTCATGCTCTTGTGACTCCATCAAGAGCTAATGTGTCTTGCTAACTATAAAAAGACATTCTCATTTAACAGAATTCTCTTACTACTAGGACACCATGTATCATGATGCATTTCTCAAACTACTGTTATGTCACTCTTGCTACTGAGATAATCCTGCATGCTGATGTCAGTTTCTTAGTGCTCAAATGACGCTCTATACAGACAGGGTTCTGTATTGACATCCTTTTGTTGCTTGAATGAACCTGTATGCTAACATGGCTCTGGTGGTAGTAGAATGATGGTCTCTTTTCTTTCTGTTAGAATACTTCAGGCTTCTTCTTATGATGTGCCTTACTACTAGGATGATGCTTTGTTTTAGTAGTTCCTACTTTTTAGTGAGATCAATTTCTCTGCTGGAGTACTGTTTGCTATAGAGACCTCTGTGATTGCTAGGAAAACCTTGTTTGCTTACAAGTTCACCTATTTTTTAAATTGACACTCTTCTGACTATTCATCATACTGGCAGGATGATCAGTTGATCTGAATTGTAATTTTTAGTTTGTGGAAGATTTAATATTGACAAGACAGTAGCCTAGTCGGTATAATGACTGGGCTATGAGCTGGAGGACCAAGGAGAGGGGTTCCATTCTTGACGGGCAAACATTTTTCACTTATCCATAATGTCAAGATTGGCTCTGGGGCCCACCTGGCCTCCTATAAAAATGGGTACCAAGGGGTGTTTCCCCTGAGGTAAGGCAGCAGGATCATGAAGCTGACCTCTCACTTCCTTTTGCTGCCAAAGTTAAGAATGGTAGAAGCTATACCCCCACTCCCCCACATGAATCATGATGTGGTACTTAATTAACTAAGGCCCAGAAATAAATTTAACTTTCCTCATACTGCAGAGATGAAACTGCAGACTGAGGGGTCACAGATTGTGTCTACCAGCAGGTCTGCATTACATCTTGGATGACCCACTGTTCCGAGGGACCTTCCTTGCTAATAGGGGGATGCATAATTGACAGCCTTGCTTACTTATGGGAGTCACCCTGTGAGCTGAAGTGCCCTTCCTTAATAATCAGATGGGACAGTCTACAAAACAGTAATTCTGAAAGAGACAAAATAGACACTACTGTGTCAATATTTGGTTTTATTACGCGGTAGCATAGTTAGTTGTGGCACTATGCTACAAACCAAAAGGTCGCGGGTTCAAGTGCCGATGAGGTCATCGGATTTTTTTAAATTGACCTAATCCTTCTGGCCGCACTATGGCCCTGGTGTCAACTCAGCCTCTAACAGAAATGAGTACCTGGAATTAAATAATTTTCCTGGGGAGTAAAATACAGCCAGTGTGTAAGGCTGACAACCTTACCGCCATCTTTGAGCTGATTGTCTAGATAATGTGGGACCCTCAACGTCTCACAACCCTATCGGCCTTCACAGCCTGTTACAGGGACAGGTTTACTTACTTATATATATATATATATACACACACACGCACGTGCATGCGCACACACAAAAGAACCCCTTAACAAGCAGTTCAGACAGAACCGCCATAGCATAATTATACCACCACTCTGAACTGCTTGTAAGGCCAACAATGAATGCAAAGCTGCTGCTAAACCAGATAAACTACATTCTGAAGAATAAAAGACTTACAGACATTGAAATCGATGAGAAAAGGGAAAGCATTAACGCGTATACAGAGGACAGCACAGGAGACCATGTAAGAAGGAAGGACGATAATGTAAGCAGCAAAGAGGATGAAATGCAGGATAGAAGCACGAGAGAGGACGCAGAGCAGAATGTGGAGAGGAACGGGTTAAAGGAACAACTTCAGGTAGCATGGCACAAGGTGAGGTTCTTACAAATGTCAGAAAGAAGAAGACTGCCGAAATTGGAAGAAAACAAGAAGCGGGTTTGCCTTAAGGAACAAGTAAATGGAATAATAAAAGAACTCTTGGAAGAGAATCAAATAAACATAACGGAAGTGAACCACTTGATATACACTGCAGCAACAGTTATCACAGAAACAACTATTAAACCTGGGAAAACAGTGACAGCCAGAAGATTTAAAGATGCTTGGAAACTAAGAACACAGAAACAGATAAGCAAATGGAGAAAAGACTTGTCCATACTCACTGAGTCAGGCTCTGGCTCTGATAACATTAAACTGAACACAAAAAAGAGGAAAATTTTCCAGAAGTACAAAATGACAAATGCCAGAGAAGTAGCAGAGTTAATAGAAAAACTAAAGCAGAAAATACAAGCAAAGGCTCAAAGAATCAGAAGATATGAAAAAAGAAAAAACCAACACATCCAGAATAAAATGTTCAAGGAAAACACAAATCGATTTTATCGACACCTGGGGGCAAAAGCTATAGAGGTCACAGCTCACCCCAATATGCAGGAAGTAGAGTTCTACTGGCAGGCAATATGGGAAATGGAAACACGACACAATGAAAAGGCAGAATGGATAAGAAGAGAGGAAAAAGGAAGAGAAGGAACCAGCGACATGAAGTGGATGCCTATAAAAACTACAGAATTTACCTCAGTTTTGGCCAAAACGCACAACTGGAAGTCTCCTGGAAGTGATCAAATACAAAATTACTGGCTAAAAGCATTCCCAGTTATGCATAGTTATATTGTAGAAGCTTTCAACAAAATAGAAAAACCTCAACAAATGCCCAAATGGCTGAATACAGGAATAACATACCTACTTCCTAAATCGAAAAACACTATGGACCCAAAGAACTACCGACCGATTACTTGTTTATCGACTATGTATAAGATGCTGACAGGAATTATTGCCAGAAGAATTTCGATATATTTGGAGGAGCACAACCTATTGCCAGAAGAACAAAAAGGATGTCATCCAGGAAGTAAAGGACGCAAGGACCAGCTGCTGATATCAAAAGCAATACCTGAGGACTGCAGGAGGAGGAAAAATAACCTAAACATGGCTTGGATTGACTATCAAAAGGCATTTGATAGAGTGCCCCACAGCTGGATAGAAAAGTCAATGAAACTAGTAGGAGTGAATGATAGCATAGTGAAATTTTGCAAACACTCCATGGAAAAATGGAACACAAAGCTTCAGCTGAGAACAAACCAGGAACTCATTCAATCACAACCCATTAAAATAAACAGAGGACTATTTCAGGGCGACTCATTATCACCACTACTTTTTTGCATAGCACTTATTCTGCTAACTCGTGAATTAAACAGATCTAGATGTGGGTACCAGGTGCATGGATCTGAAAGGAAAATAGGTCACTTGTTGTATATGGATGACTTGAAACTGTTAGGAAAAAGTGAGGAAGAATTGAGGGACGAGATTAAAATTGTAAAAACATTCAGTAGTGATATAAAAATGGAGTTTGGATTAGAAAAATGTGCCAGAATTTCGATAAAAAAAGGTAAGGTTCAAAGAAAAGAGCATGTAGAAAACACAGGGGAGAATGAAATTAATGAACTAGAAACAAATGGAGCATATAAGTACTTGGGAATAGAAGAGAACCACCAGATAGAACACAAGAAAGAGAAAGAAAGGTTGAAGAAGGAGTATGTAAGAAGATTAAGATTGATTTTGAACACAGAGCTGAATGCAAAACACAAAATGCAAGCAATTGGATCATTGGCAGTACCAGTACTGAGATACAGTTTTGGAATTATTAACTGGCACAAAGAGGAAATACAAAAATTGGACAGGAAAACAAGAAAAATGTTAACTACCTACGGACAGCATCACCCAAGAGCAGATATAGACCGTCTGTATGTTCCTAGAAAAGAGGGAGGACGAGGCCTGATACAGATAGAGGCGGCTTACATGGCAGAAACCACAAACCTAGCGGAATATATAGAAGGAACAGAAGATCAACTGATGAAAATTGTTAGGACACACCAACGCAACACAAGTTCTTCGCCTAACACAGCCTGCAAGCACACGAATTTTTTACAAAAAAAGGCAATAGCTCAGAACACAAAAGAAAAATGGGAAAAGAAAAGAATGCACGGACAATACCCATGCAGCTTAGATGACACTCTGGTGGATAAGGAACAGACCTATCGATGGTTGAAATTTGGAGGCATTAAAGGGGAAACAGAAAGCTTAATCGTAGCAGCTCAGGACCAAGCAATCAGTACAAACTATTTTAAGAGAAAAATATTGAAAGAAGAGATCGGAAGTAAATGTCGACTGTGTAAAGAATACGAAGAAACTATAGACCATTTAACATCAGGATGTCCCGTTTTGGCGAAGAACGAATATATAGTAAGGCATGATAAAGTTTGCATGCATTTACATTACTCAATATGTAAAGAATTTGGAATTGAAGTACCAGACAAATGGTACTCACACGTGCCTAAGTCAGTATGTGAACATGAGGATATAACGGTGTTATGGAACCAAGGCGTACAAACAGACAGAGAGGTTCTGGCAAACAGGCCAGATATAATAATTAAAAACAAGCAAAAGAAAACTTGCATACTTATAGATGTATCAGTACCATCGGACAGGAATGTAGTGCAAAAACAAGCAGAGAAGAAATTAAAATATAAAAATTTAAGCATCAAAATTCAGCGAATGTGGAACATGAAATNGAACATCACACATACTACGGAAAGTGCTACAGTGCGAAGCTTGAAGCCTGAGTGGTGAGGTGCATCACTGGTTCAAGAGAAAGGAATACCAGGAAATAAACCTGTGACAAGAGATGATGATGATGATAATAATAATAATAATAATAATAATAATAAATAATAAAAAATAATAATAATAAATGGATCTCACCAGTTCTTATATGTCAAGACTTTTCACAGAGGACCACAACAGTGCAACACTCTTAGTTCAGGATGCTCTCTGGGAAACAGTGGAAGACTGTTTTGTTGGATCACTTTTATTCAGATTATTTTCCATACATTACATACATTCCAGACAAAAGTAATAGTAATAACAATGATTGTGATAACAAATGCAAAAAGCAATGAATCAAGGAACCTGCCGCTGAACTACGTGGATCAGCATCATGTACGCTCATCATAATAGTCAGTAAGTTGAAGCAAGAAAAGGCTGATTAAAAAGATGCAAATTATGTAGTATGCTTAAGTCATACAATTCAATGATATTTACCATACACAGTATACGTTATTCACAAGCCAAAAATTCAGGCCTGGTCGTTCGATGTTCCCTAAAAAAATTACAAAATGAAGGAAGGAGAAGGAAATGGTAAGAAGACAAACAATGAACACTTTGATTGGATTTGTTCCCTCAGTCATGATCCGAGTTTTTAATTTCATTATAATGCGATTTTTTTATTATTTATATTTTTTGTATTTATTCGTAGTAAAGCCCAGGTCTAACTTCAGACATTTTAATCCCATTACAGAGTACCTTCATGCTCAGCTTTCTTCGTGACTTCAGACTATTTATGCTTGGTTGTATAATGACACTGTCTTAAAAAAAATATATATATATATTCAATTTGCTACAGTTGATTAAAAATTTGCTATTATGTAACATTTTCATCACTGCTCATAAAATAACTTTATACAATAAAGTCTTCAGATTAGCAGTGAAATATTTTAATCTGAAATAAGGGTGCTATTTCAAAATGAATCTGATATAAAAAGAACGTGAAGGAATGCATCTCTGTGTAAAAAACAGTTTTGTATTTGGGTGTCTACTGCTTAGTCTGAAGATAGTCCTGGATTATTATTTGTGTCAATCAGTTTGTCTGGCTCACTTTTGCCAGCATAATTAAACAAATCCTTACTACGTCTGAACTCACAGACTTGTGTCAATTACTGTGAAAAACATGTAAGCTTTAGATGTAACATCAACACATTTGCCACTGTTTCTTCATATGTGATTTCCTCGTTTTGCAATCCCTTCATACATTTCCTCATCAGCTTCAATTGCATTTATATAAGAATATTATAGCAAATAATGTTCAGCGTCAACTTTATTCAAATTATCTTCTATTTGTGTAACACAATTGTGTTAATAAAGTCTTGTTATGGAATCTATTCCATTTATTCCTAAAGTAAAGGTATTTTTATAGGAATAATGAACATATTCTGTCATCAGTAACTCAGCTGTCAAAATAAACTTGCTCTAGGCAAATTGATATGGCTTGCCAGTGCAGTTGCTGTCCATAAAATATATTCAACTACTTCATCCAAGTCCACCATATATGTGCTGAGATGAGCAATGTTTTTTGACACTTGTAGTTAGACTCAAATGGAATCTGTGGTAGGAAGGTTTGAGTCCTCATTGTGGTAGTGGATCCTTCAATATAGTCCTGTTAATACTATCATCCTACACTGTATTCTGATGGAAATAGACAACAGTTCAAATAAAGTAAGAAGCTGATCAGAAGTAATATTTAAACCCTTAAAATTAAATAACAGTAAAATTAATCAAAGAATTCTTGCTTGTAATCCAGTATTTACAGCTGTTCACAAAACGAAAATCTGCAAGAATTCCTCAGTTTGTTAGTTCGTTAAAATCCACAATGTTATTGCATACAATGGTAAATTCTGAGTCAAACATTTGCATATACAATATAGTATTCTGTATGATCTACTTCATGCTGCAGTCTTTTGTTTTTACCAAAAAAAAAATTGCATTAGTTTCAATGAATACAGTATCTTCCCAAAATCTTCTTTAGTGCTTATTTTGAAAAATATTTCATACAATATCTTTAAATTGAATGATCATATAGAGAGGGATATTTTACAAGTTTCTCTGCCATTAATGTTGTTAATGTGACAGTTTCTGTTGTTGCTACCTTCTATAAAAGAAGTAAGCGGTTGTCACAGTGCACATTGCAACTGTTTCTCAAACTGTTGTATTTTAATATTGGTTAAAGTGAAAAATATTATCACCCCAGTCTCCCACCCGCTCGCATGGCGGGCATGAGACCCAGTGTCAATCCTGGTTGAGATGACAAAATTTATTGCCAAACCAAAGCAAACAACAATGAAATACCTGAACAACAACTCTGTCACTTATGAATGACTCATTTTCTTTCATACTGAATCCTGCCTTTATCCTCTACTTCTTAATGATAATGGTGCCTTATGGGTGATGTTTCCCATACCGGTCATAGAAAACACCATCCAAGGGCAAATTTCAAGGTTTTTCAAATTATTCCTAAGAACATTTTTTCAAAGGTTGTCCAACACAAAAGCTCATACGCTGATCTTAGAAGTAATAAAACATTTTTTAGTCATATATGAACATTATGAACAAAATAATACTTCATGTCAGGCATTTCACAAAATATGCACAAAAGGAATAAATGTCCTATATATATATTCAGGTCTCATTGACTAGAGTAATCAACCTGAGAGGTTGTTCTATCATATTCATTCACACAAATATTATGCTCAACTTTTAATCTACAAAATAATTGCTTGTAATGTGATATTGCACGCAGATAGCATACGATTACTACAAGGGTTATCTGTGACTATGAAAAAACTCATCAGGAACTATGTTGTTCTACACAGTGATCAGACAAGTAATAGTTGCGGAATGCACCAACACGTATACACATATACATATTACTGTAATGTGACAAGACAAGGCTCTAACAGTATCACTTACCTTCCATGCTTTGACCCCACAAGAAGTACACATGCACACACAGAAGTTTTGAAAGAAAAGAAAGAAACACCAACATGATGTGTAAACAACTTCTCCTAAACTGACAGATATTTGTACTCTTATACAGAAAGAAAAAATTAAAGTCAATGATTGCAACATTCCCGGCACTACTTCTTTTTCGCTTCCTACTTGCCCAATCACTGTGTTGTTGCAACATGCTTGAATACAATTTTTTCCAGCCACATCCATGGTCTTGAGTCTCATATTCAATTAAATGCTCATTCCTTTCTTAAAGCCCCCTTTTAATATTATATAATATATTAATAAAAGCATTCCGTAATATTTTTGTTAGAATACAAATAGTTCCACAATTTCTGATCAATATAGCATGATTTATATCTAGTAATGTAAGCCATGGATATTTGAGAACAAAAAATGACATTAGAAGAAGCTATATGGGATGTATTGCGCATAGGTAGATATACATATATAGCAAATTGAGTTGCATACCCCATGAAAACATAAGTTGATCAAGTTATTCCAATATGACCTCGAGTACTACACCATACTACAAAAGTAAACATCTTGTATTTTGTTCCCTTTTGAGTCTTGGTTGAGGTGGAAATAGTTGAAAGATACAGAAGAAAAACTTGACTTACAACACGCATTCAAAGGGATCTAATTTGGGTATGAGGGAACAGTGGGAGTAGGTTCAAGCCATAGTTAAGGTTCCAGCACCCATACCAAAACCTACACCATGGGGCCCGAACTTTCGGCCATAACAGCCACGGCAATAGATGTCACCATCTGGACCATCATTCAAGTTGGTGGAGTCCAGAGAGCGGCCACACTCACCACAGTGGAAGCAGCGTCGGTGCCAGATCTGAAAGTTGAAAGAATTTAAAAAGAGACTTAAAATATGATTTTAACACCCTGCTCAGTATCTGATCCACAACAATAAAACTAAACTGAGGACTAAAATACTAATATTTAATTTAGTTTATGGAGTTCTGAATTCATAACTCTCTAAGAGTTTATATTTGAGCCAGCCACTTCTACAGCTCCCCTAAAAGGGAGAAAACTCCAACCACTCTGCCCTTACCTTCATTTTTATTTTTCTCTTCCTCCCCTCACTTTTTTGCTCTTTCTCTTGTACTATTCCTTCTACTTTTGTTTCTTTCTGGCCTGCACCTTGCATGCAGGTTTACTACAGTTCCAGACATGTCACATATTCAGCCTCTCCAGAAAGAGATTGGCATTTTGAATATCCGTTTTTATCTCACTTTCCATAGGCCTGTGTGAGAATTTATTGGCAAGGCCGGGACAAAATCTCTTTAAAGCTGGGACCACACAAAATGCGTCCGTTATAACGAATGTCGTGACATCCGTTGTAGAACTAAACAAGAGGTGCAAATGCTACGCTTTCTTCTGGCTCCACTGCAGACAAAAAACTATGCACCGCATTCTGCAACTGTGTGGTGTCCTCAGCAAACGTCCGTTACAACGGACGCATTTTGTGCGCTCGTGTGGCCCCAGCCTAAAGGCTTATATTGCAATGTCTGTCCTTTTGTTATTGTTACCATTTACTCAATGCATCAAACAGAGCAGTTCCCACCAATTTGCAGACCTATACTACTAAATGTCATGTGGACAGTCATTTCACCCTGAAGATGGAGAGAGTAAGAAATATAGGCAATAAAACCTACAACTATAACTGTTAAATGAATGTGTGTTATCTGACTATGTACATATTGTCATGTGTTTGAGTGACTCTTGATGGGGTTTTCGATTGGAGATTGGATTTACTGACCACTTTAAAGCATGACTCTTGACTACACTTAATTATAGAGCCACCATTAATCTCCACGCTTTACAAATCACTACAGAACATACTAAGTCTTTGAAATCTGCGGTGTTGCCCGGTAACATCTCCAATGGTTATTCCTCTGTTTCCATGCTCAAATGCTTTCTGAATGGGGGCTTCCTTCTAACTGAGCTAACTCACAGTCTGAGTCAGAGTCAGAGTCAGAGTCACTTCATGACTTTCTTTTTACCACCAATCAGTTCATCTTGGCACCAAGCCCCTTGAGACCCACAACATAAAACATTAATATGTAAATCAATACTTACCCTGTTCTTACTGATCATCTGCTCAGCAGCATACACAACAAAACCACATCGCGGACAACCTTGTCCTTTAGGGGCCTTAAATCCTGTTGTAGGTTTGGTATCAGGGCTAAAGGCAAAATAAAAAAAAAAAAATATGAGTAATCAATGTAAATGCACAGAATATATGTGATGAATCAATATAAATGCACACAAAATACATGACAAAGCAATAAAATTATAATCAATTCAGGCAATAAAATGCTTATTTTTGAAAGCTCGATTTAAAATGGCCAAGTTGTGGCAATATGCAAGTGCTATTTGGAATGTAATCTCCTTTTATTTTAGGCAACTGACATAGAAGCAGGGGAGCGCTCACGCATGTGAGATAGTGTCACATGGCTCATTGCCTTGTAAACCATCATATAACTGGTCACCTAGTGTTTGTTCTTGTCTCTACAGAGTGAGTTATGATGTGTCCTGTGACTGACAATCCTCCCAGCTGCGAAATTCGCGCTGTTTTCCAGTTTCTTCACTCAAAAACGTGAGCGCTGTGGAATTCCTCATTAATCATGTGTGGTTTATGGCCAAAATGTAAGGAGTTTAGAACTATAAGATGGTGATGTAGAATGTTCAAAGATGAGCGAGAAAATGTTCACAAAGAAGAGCGAAGTGATCGGCAGGCCATCTGTAATGAGTGATGATCTTGTTCAAAGTGTTGACCAAAAAATTTATGAATGATGGCGCTTCACAATTTCAGAAATTTTGCGTAAATTTCCACAAATTTCACACGCTGTTCTCTATGAATTTATCAGAGCTAGATTAGGCTATCACAAAGTTTTGTGCAATATGGTTTCTGAAAATACTCATGGATGCACACAAAAAACACAGAATGGCTTTGGCTTTGACTTTTTTTAGAGCGATACCCCAAAGATGGTGATGGCAAAAAAGACAAACCATACTAGGGAAAAGCAAGACAATGAGGTCTGATTATTAGTAGCAGGACAAATATTAGTTAAAAGTAGTTATAGATGTATTGGGAACTAGTAATAGCTAATGGCCATATGATTTATTTACATATTATTATGCAGTACATTTACAGATATATGCCAGAAGTGTTATTAACCACTACCTCTCACATGACTCTGCAGTATTTATTTCACACATGAACAGATGTTTTGTTTATTATTATCATAATATTAACATTTCCACACTCGACCTCTCTCGATTACAGCGCTCAGCAAACTGTTCCCCAAATCCTGACAAACTGGACTGGTAACAATTCCTGCTCAGCCAAAACACAAAGTCTCCATAAAAGATGACTACTGGTATATGTTAATTTATAACCAATAATAAGTACACTGTTCATACCCAGCTGAATTTTAACTGGTGATATACACAGGCAAAAATGGTTGATGAAGTTAGGTTAAAAGTGGTGAATTTCTTCAACAATCCCTACTTTCTGTCCTTGTATGTTTCCATTCCATTTAACTGTCACTTGATTGGTTAGACATATCAGTAAAGATATTTTGACAGTAACTTACTAAGAGATGGTTGATTCTCCATGGGTAGATACCAGAGTAGGAGCATGGCCATAACCGAAGCCCTTCGGGCCAAACTTCTTTCCATAGCATGCCTTGCAGTATATTTCACGGTCTGGACCATCACATGCTAGTACTGAATCCAGTGGCCTATGGCAATCTGAGCAGTTGAAGCATTTCTTGTGCCACATCTGGTTAAATTACAAACATTTTACACTATTAGAAATAATTTTAAGTGAGATTTCAGGTTTTATAGGTGGTAAGCATTCAGATTATGGTTTAAGTTCAGATTAAGGAAAGGATGTCATGTAGTTTGTTACAGGGTTACCAACACTTTCTTAATTTAATTAAAAAAAAATTGTTATTTATCGTTGTTCCACAAATCTCAAATTATTTATTAGCTATAACATTTTCTTGGGAGATAATGCATGTCAAATTGTAGTCAAAATCTGTCACAGAGGACTTCATGTATGTATATCATAAACATAAATGTTAAGCCAGTATGTCATTCCCTGAGGACAGAGACATGGAATACCTCTGAAACATTGCACTGAAAGTCTGAGCTGATGGAGATGGTAACACAAGAATTGTCTATCACTTTCAGTTGCTGTGAATACTCCAAGTCTTGTATATTTGTTATGTACATGTTTTAATACTAATACCAAGGCAGTGTTTTGCGTACCGTTCCCTTTGCAAGCTGCTGCTCAGCAGCAAACACAGCACCTCCACATCGAGGACACCCCTGGCCAGCTGGAGCCTTGATGGATGTTGTATCAGGGTTGTAGTAAGGCCGAAAACTGGAGATCTCCTCCTCTCTACACAGAGTGAGATTGTGAAACTCAGATTAAAGTTGTCATATCTTTAGCAATTTATATGTTTTTCTAAGGAAACACACTCAGTATGAACAAAACAGTGTTAACACCTAGAACTAAATCCTTAGTTGAAGATCAAGGTTGCGGAAAATGTTTATTCCACTACCAAAAAGCCCTAATTAACTCCACACATCATAGTTATTCCTAAAAACTAATAATATTCAACTATTTTCGGAAATTCCCCAACCAAAAGAACCTGCCATTATTCCCTGTCCTACATCAGATGGTCAATCATTGGGTTCTTACCACAATTCACAAGGTTTAATTTCATCGCAGTTGCAGTGAATAAAATGGAAATGGAGGTCTTTCTCCAAGTACTTCAGTTCTCCCCTGCCAATTATCATTCCACTGAATATTTTATTCTTTCATTTATCATCACTGGCTAGCACAAAAGGTTTGTGGCCGCAGTACCAAGGGACTCTACCCAAACCCACGAATAAAAAATAAATAAAATAAAAAATTAAGTGTCACTTGATTCCAATCCACAGTGTAACAACCATATTCCTTTAAGATCCATTTTAATATTACACACCCTATGTGGTCTCTTCCTTTCAAGCTTTCCAGATAGAATATTATATGCATTTCTCATCGCTTCATGAGTACTACATGTCCTGCCCATCAATTTCTTCCTGATTTTATATGCATGGTATTTGGTGACTAGTAAAATTTATGAAGCTCCTCATAATACAATTTCATCCAGCTTCTTGTTAATTTCATCATGAATTATTTGCTTATATTTACACATAAATTTCTCATCATGTAACTGGAATGTAAGTACTGGACCACATTAAAAGTAAAGTGTCATAACCATGTAAGAGACCTGCCAGTTTTTCCTACAGTAGGAGTATTTACACTTACGTAAGTCCATCAGTCTGGAGGAATCCCGAACCACAAGCAAAACCATAACCATGTGGGCCAAATTTCTTGCCATAGCAAGTCTTGCAGTAGACATCGCGGTCAGGTCCATCGCACGCTAGAACTGAGTCCAAGGTCTTGGTGCAGTCACGACACTTGAAACACTTGCGATGCCATTCCTGAAATTAAGACAGGGCAAAATTCTATAACAATTTATTTCTTAGTTTATATCATAATACTTTATCGACAATAAACAATAAAATGATTATGAATGGTAAATTTGGAGGATATCAAAGAAAAGCAATTGCAATAGGTGTGACATATACACTGAACTGTCGATTATCCGGGGGCAGATAAACCGGTTTGTGGCTTAACAGGGATTTTTTGAGGCTTATATGTTGTTGAATATTTACACTTTTGTTTCACATGGTGAGTTGTAACACTATTTTCGCACTAGTGTGAACAGAGCTCTGCATTTTTTGGTCCCGTTGTGCTAACACAATGTTCTAGGGTAGGGGTGAAAGAATGCAAGGATTTGTGGAAAGTTTCAAGGACAGATACACCGCCCCAGTTAGTCTCTTTGTATCGATCTTCAAGTACCTTAGCAAAATGTCAGGGTGTGAAAGGAAGTGTGATGTGTTAAGTATTCAACAGAAACTTGAAATTATCAATCAGTTGGGAAAAGAGGTGCAGTTAAATAATTAGCAATGCAATACCAAGTCTCTTTGTCTAGATTCAAAAAGCTAATAAAATCGAGGAAGTTAAAATAGTGCAACATGTAGGCTGATTCAGAAAACAATAAATTGTTACTTAATTTGAGTAGGAAATCCTTGTATAAAGAGATTATTTGTTAATCTAAGATGCAGATGAGTGAACATTACTCCTCTGCTTAATTAAGCATAGTGGCGGCATAATTCTGTACATTCTTAATTTGGCACTAGATAGAAGTAAATGGTCTGCTTCATGCTTCGGACAATTTTCTCTCAGAGAAACAGCCTTTGGTGCTCATTGGATAGGAGGCTGGGTGGGTGGGCTCCAGAGTCAGTCTGGGCACTGTGGACAATAGAATAGTCTCTGCCCCCTTTCCAATAATCAAACCTCGATTCCTATGTCACCTAGCCCATAGTTTACTTAGTATACTGAAAGCGCTACTGAAGCATTCTTTGGAAAATAATTTATGTGAAAGAGAAGTGAACTGAACGTGACAAGGATAGGTTCCACAACAAAGACTTCATGATACTTGTAATGGTCATGACTGGATTCTAGAAGAAGTGAGAATTTCCTATAGCTGTTTACTGCCTTGCTCTTAAGTTAGAGTTCTTCCAGTGCCTGTAAAGCATGATATGTATAAAGGCCTTTGCATTCTATGGAGCCTATGGAGCTTGGTGTACCACGGAGTAAGGTGGTTAAAATAATATGTGCTTTATGTACTTACTCTGCCCTTAGCTAGCATTTGCTCAGCAGCATAAACGACACCACCACATCGCGGGCACCCCTGGCCAGCAGGGGCCTTAATGATAGCTGTATCAATCACTGTTGTCCTAGGTGCTTCACTAAAAAACAATGATATACTTCATGACAAGTCATTGAGGTAGGCTTTCACAAATTCAAACTTTACCAGAAATACAGATACCTGTTATTATGAGCAGAATTAAAATATTATGAACACTGTGGATAATTTCTTACTAGATAAATATGCAGCCAAATTAATATTTATTTTACATAATATGAGGGAAATAGAAACTCTTTGGAATGTAAAAAATAAATGGCCAAGTGGTATCAATTTTACCTGAACGTGACTGTTGTGCATATGCATATGTAACCCATGAATTTCCTATCAAGTCAATAGTCTATAACCTCAAAATGTTATGCCTATCACTATCTTGGTCGCATTTGAAAAACAAATATTATATAATGCAAAGTATGTAGAAGTACTTATATTTCCAAACACTTCTCATATCATACATCTAGGTGGAGTAATTTGTTAATTAAATGGGTCAGATACAAATGTAATAACACACTTCATATGATTACTATTTCATTTCTGTATTTTGAAGAATATGTGTTAATGTATTTGCAATTTTTTAAACAATTTTTTTATCATTCAAATCTTAAGGAAGTATGGTGGTGGTGGGGTGATCTCTAATGGTAGGATACAAATGCCTTGATTTCTTAAATCACTGAATACAGTAGGCCTGGCAAGGTGACTTAAGTCATTTCTTGATAATATAACTGCAACTATGAAGAAGAAAGAATAAGCGATTGTGCCAGAAGTCATGTGAACACAGAAACAACATGCATCACAATTTGAAAATATTTTCATTTTGGAAACCACCCCAAGGGAGAAACTTCTGCAGGCCAAGACATGTCATGTTTTCAACAAACAATATACATACCTGAAGGTTTCATCATCACAAAGTAAAAAATTGTAAAAACACAATGCTTATTATGGTTCTGAAAACTCAAAATCCAGTACCAGTTTAAAAAAATGAACAAAAACAAAGAGGGGGAATGGCATACTTTGTTTCAAAAAGAGCTGGTTCATTTGTATCATAGGATTCAACATGCTGAAAGTCTCCTTGTAATGGATGGGGAGTGATCACAACAAAGTACAGGACTTGGACTTCATTGATTCTTGAATTGTAATGATCAGAACTAGAAACACAGGAGAAACAAAAGCCATCTATACAATTAGAGGAAGTTAGAGAACGATTTTCAAAACTCAAAACATTCCAACAAAACTATATTGTGCCTGGAAGGTTTGGTCAGAAATAGTTAATGTGAGAAATACTATTTTTATACGGATTATTATCATAAATATCAAAGTTTCAGCACGTCCAAAATGAACAGTGAAAGGTGAAAATCCAAGCAGCATAAAATATTTTCTGATTCTGTATTTTTTATTTACACATATCTCTGACTGTCACCCATAAATTTACACAAAGAAAAGGTAGGTCTCATTATATAAATAGATTAACAAAAGTTTGGAAAGACAGAGTGCAAGGATTATCTAACAATACATTTGATACATGAACACAGGTGTCCTACATGCTGTAACATTATTGCATATCAAGACCCAACCAATCAGGGGGCTGGCTACCTCGCATCCAATATATCTGACGTGAGCCCTATTATTGACCCGCCTCCACGCCCAATTCCATGAGGCCCATATCGTTTAGCGTAGCAAACTGCAGGAGGAGGAGAAAATATATCAATTTTAACTCACTCTGAGTTAAAGACCTGGACCATAAACAAGCATTTACAGCTTAAACCTTTTCATTGTCTGCCTGAAGTATTATCACTACCAAGCATACAGCTTTATGCAGTGGCATCTTCAAGTAAATACTGAAGGGTTAAGCTATATGAACAGTGTAATATTTAAATGGTAAATGCTTGGTTAGGACCAGGGACTTGTTTAAATTTATGCTATGCTACATACCCATTAGCATAACTAATATCACTCTGCAACGCACCGCCACCTTGACCATAGCCATACCCCTTGGGGCCGAACCTTTTGCCATAGCAAACTGCAGAAATAACACAAGTTTTACACAACACAATAAAATCCTCAGCTACTTAATGCTAACACAATAAAACATTATTATAAAATCTCTTATCATAATTTCATTCAATGTATTATTTCAATTACCTTAAACAAAAGAAAATAAAGTTTCAGAAACATCGTGAGGTGGAAGCATAAGTTCTAAAGATAGGTTAAAATAGAGCTCTGTTGTAATGTGTTCTAATGGAGCTTCATATAATTTGGAGTGTCACAGCTCCCAAAATATTAATTTACACTTATTGCATTTAAAAACTTTGAATATATCTTTGATATAGTTTAGAATCCCCTGTAATACTCATTGGGCAAGTGGTAGCATAGTTCGTTGAGGCACTATGCTACAAGCCAGGAGGTTGCGGGTTTGATTCCTGATGAGGTCATTACATTTTTCATTTGACCTAGTCCTTCCAGCCGCACTATGGCCCTGCAATCAACTCAGTCTCTAACAGAAGTGAGTACCAGGAATCTTCCTGGGTGTAAAGGGCTGCTGGCTTGTAAGGCTGATACACTTACCATCATCTGTGAGCCGAATGTCTAGAAAATGTGGAAGCTTCGATGTCTCACAATGCTATGGGCCTCCATGGCCTGTTATAGGGATATCTTTACCTTTACCTTTTTTTTTTCATAATGCTCATTATTGAACCCTATTTATATTATTCCAGTTTCCACTGTATATGACATCATTAAAAATTCTTTTAAGTCATACACTTCCAAAATCATACAATTAAATATATTCAACTTCTATTAATTCTGTTACTTCTATTAGCTATTTCCATAAACTGGCAGCTGACTATAGATTTCTTTTCAGTCTATAAAGAATAATTTAAATTAAAAAAATACAGCTCTTAATAACTATTGCCATAAAAATCTCACTTCCACTTGAAAAGTTTGCAAGATCGATATTTTTAATGTTTTACACAGCAGTAAATTAAAAATTATAAAGATGGGGTTGCCCCTAGTGACACGATGTTCATACCATTCTTTTGAAGATCCACGAAACAGTTCAGAAATTATTAGGTCCTCCCCAATTTTTCTTTATACCAGAACAAGAAATATAGGTGATCACTACATTCTTTGCTTCCACTGGATATCTGTGAAACTTTTGCACTGAGGAGTGATGTGTACATATATTTTCCTATTAATATTAATTTACTAAAACTTATTTAAAGGAAACAGCACTATATTTACTTGCGAGCATAATTAATATTTAGTGCAAAATTGATGATTAACATCAGACATATACATGTATTTTCCACTTTCCTAGGCTACACAGATATACAGAATACACAAAGAGAAAACTCACCACATAATTGGACATGGATTCTGAAGTGACACAAAGAACACTGTAAACAACGTTCTAGGAGTGCTAAGCAGAAGTGTATTAGAAGTCTTGTTAGAATCTGTTAACATATTAACCAGCCCTAATAAAAATTATATAGGTATTAATAAAATTATTAGTTGAAACGGATGTTTTTGAAAGAACATTTTTTGATTTCATTATATGAAAATTTTTATTCTTACACACCTTTGCAGTAAATATCCTTGTCAGGTCCTTCACAACAATTGACCGAGTCTAGTCGTTTCGAGCATTCGCCACATTTGAAGCATCCCCTATGCCATGACTTGAACATAACAATAACATGGAAAGGTGAAATTCAGTTCAGGAAGACTTTCTGATCATTGTCTTCTATGAATTGAGACATAAGATAATGGAATATCAGGTTACTATGACACCAACAGAAAATGTTTTCAGCATCATAGCTGATATGTGCCACCAGATTGAAACTTGATACTTATGCTGGTAGCCTGAATATTGTGACTGTGAAGGTTAATAATAATGGTGAAATGCTTGATGTGTCAGGTTATGTTCAATATCGTTCACTATCTTTGGACATGAAATATACACATGTTGACTTTGTGTACTCTTAACTTTGGGTGAATGATCAGTACAGCATAATTTTTATTCCTTTGTTGTTGCAAGCAGATGGAAAAATATGAAGTGAAATTGATTTTGATTTTCTCCCTTATTACTTCATAGTTCTTGAACCTAATACTCAGATATGAAGGAAGGTAAACTGTAAAGCTTGTCTTCTTACAAAAGTCTGATGTAACTTCCATATTTGTATTTTTATGCTTGATGAGTATCATACCTTTATTTTCAAATACTCAATGAATAATAAGAATGTTCGCACAACATATAATTTAAACTGATCATATATTTGTGGCTTGGTTGCTTTGGACTCCTGAAAATTTCTGTCGTTATTTAAATTAGAAGGGACTATGTCCTTTCAGTTTTACAAAAACATGGTATGTATATTATGGATAAATGTGGTCAATGCATTTAAATTATTTTTTAATGATCTAAAGAGAATTAATTACAATAGTGATATTATGGAAAAATATGTTTGAAAACTTTTGGAACTGTATGGACCAGATAATACTAATACTTGGTATCAATAATGATTTTATTTCGCCTCATAAATAATAAAATAGATTTATTATCACATAAAAACTATTATTGGGAAAAGTAATACAAAAAATGTTCAACTTAATAAGTTTTACTCAGAGAGAGGAATCAAGAATTTTAGTATTCAGCATTGTCTCATGTGAAGGCTGATACATATTTGAAAATCAACCAGAAATGAGGCACAAGGTGGGGCCACACTACTTGCAAACGTATGAACACTACAAAGAGGAAAATGTAGATGGATGTCAGAAGAGATGCACAGAGACAAAGACATACAACTGCCATTTCAGATCGTGCTGTAAAAGAAGTGAAAGGGTTAAATAAACAATCTTACATTGGCCAGGACAGCTGCTGCTCTAGTTCAAGTGTGGCTTTATTAGGTTTCAACACAGTCAAACTTATCTTTAAGTTCTGGCAACTGTTGAGGAGGAAAAATCTGAAAATATTATCTACATGCTGGATATATTCCAACAGACAAAATGCTATTTGTCCACCTTATCTCAGCTCATCACTGTGGTGCATAGTTTCAGACAGTTATGTCATTAAAGTCTCACTTGAACTGGATGACAGGTAGACAGGCAGATGGGTGAACAGACTAGCACAGATTTGGGGCAACCCAGAGCACACATGTACACTGCGAGTCCCTCATGGCTGAATGACCATACCTTTACAGTATATCTCTTTATCTGGGCCATCACAATGTGTTGTGGAATCCAGTGTGCGATTGCAATTATTACAGCGGAAGCAGCCCTTGTGCCAGCCCTATGGTACGGACATTTCACATCTATATTGCACATAAGTGTGACAGTATCATGATCTCAAAAAATAAAAAGTAGTAATACTGTCAAATACTTACTGTCATTTTGGGAACAAAACTATGCCAAGATTGCCAGGATACACTATACAAAACTTACAAAATTGCCATCGGCAAATATAACACGAGAAGGCACTGAAATTTATTTAAGGAATACTTAAGTTTGGAAATAAAATATAATGCGGAAATGCCAATAACAGTTTCTGCATTAAAAAAAAATATCTGAACAATTCAGTGTAGTCACCTATAAATATAATCTGCATCACAGACAAAATAAATTAAACTAAATTAAATTAAATACAACAACAATAATGATGATGATGGCCGTGTTGGTGGCAGAGATGCTGATGTGGTGGTGGTGGTGGTGGTGGTGGCAGTGGTGGTGGTGGTGGTGGTGGTGGGAGATATCTATAAAATGAAGTATACTGAACTCTTTCAATGGAAATTGTAGGCATGATGACACAATAATTATTAATCTAAAAAACAACATATATTTTGTTGCTNATGAGTTGTGTCAAAAAAAAATGATATTTGAGGGGCAGAAGTTTAGATTTTTTGTAATAAAGTTTAATTCCAAATTATTAAATTTGAATTTATATTTATAGTGACAAAACATGAATCAAGAGCAGTTGCTACTTCAGAGGCCAAGAAAAGAATAAAATATATTTAAGACACAGAATGGTCACACTGGCCATGGATCGAAAAACTTTTCAAGAAACTTTAAAAGGTAAAGTTCTCTATGTGATTATTTTGTTAACCAAAATTAAAAAGTTTTAAAAATGATGTGTATGCCAGTATATTAGAATATATAAATCATCAGATAATAATTTCTATTATTGGATATCACTACCTTTTGTCATGACTTTACATTAATGACAAGACTAAGGTCATAGCAAGTCACAATCTTTCAGCAGCGGCATCTTCTTTTTCTTCTTCCAAAAATTTTGGTTCAATATTCCGCACTCCAAAGCAAAGGTTGCTAATGATCAGTAACATGTGAACCAAAATAATCTATCATGTTATTATGGCATTTGTGCTACAGGCTTAGCATTATTAGGTGGATGGAACACATTTCCAAAATACTGAATGCAATGTATGGTAAAGTAACCTCCAATAGTCTTCAAGTGTGAACAATCTTACTGTTCTCACACATCAGTTCTGAAAACCCCAGCCACACAGCTAACGATGGCATCAGTAAATATACTTACTCGGCCCAGTGCCAACATTTGCTCAGCAGCATACACATAACCACCACAGCGAGGGCAGCCTTCACCTTCAGGGGCCTTAGCAATGGCTTTCGTCTCCTGCACAGCATGGTTCACCATCTCACTGAAGTGAAAAACAATTTATTGTACTCCTCAACATGCACCATCCTTGTCAAATTTATTCCATTCATACAAGCTAACCTTCATAAATTTATTAATGAATTCTAGATAGTCTCATTAAGTAGTTACATGTTAAGTAAAGCCAAAAATAACTCATATAGAGCAAAATCAATAGCCCTATTTAAGATGTCATACTGAAATAACAGATCTTATAATAAAAATGACAAACAGAAGAATGGAACTGGCTGTCATAAAACTTTACAGCCTCTTAATCTTATATTTTAGTATTATACTTTTATTTGTTTTCATGAAAATTACAAAATTTAAAATTAGCAAGCATTTTTGAGTTTCTTTCTTAATCAGATTTTACATTACAGAATATAAGCAAAAGTGATATGAAAATATCTTAAAAACTATAAGCATTAAAATAGACTTAGCTTAATGTTATGTGCAGCACTATAGTTTATTTATTTGTAGTATTAATATTATTAGTTGTACTATTGCATCTCAAAAAAGCCAGCTATAGAAAAATGATTATGTAAAAATATATTATTGATTATTAATCATCTGTTATGTGTTGAAATCTCAACCTGAAATGAAAGAGACAAAATCAGGAACCCAAAACAGAGCAAATATAATGCAATTCTCTCAAGAGAAACAATATGAAGTACATATCTGTCCATTCCATTACCCAATTTTTCTTCATTACTATAGAATTTATGCAGGAAATTACAATTTTGATTTTGTTACTTTTGAAGCAATTATTATATATTACTTATCTTCTTGAATAAGACATAAGAATCTATGTCCCAGTAAGGAAACTGAATATTTTTACACCTAGACAGGCATGTTTTGGGTCCCTGGATGAAAGACCGATGGAGGTAAGCAATGGGAGAAGGTTGAGCTTGAAGTAATAATTCTGGCATCCACAAATACACAAGGTTGCAGGGTTAAACATACATGAACATCCTGATTCATGGAGGGTGTCTGTTTTTGTTTGCATTATTCTAAATAACTGTTTGATCCCCTTGTAACTGATTTTATTTTCACACTGAAACAGGCTTCTATATTGTTGAGGGCATTTTCCTTATCCCATTACTTGTACCAGCATGGGTCAGGGTCAGAAACACCAACTAAACAGTTAATAAAAGCAGGCCTGTGACATATCACAGTGCAGTGCATTTGTGTTTACAGTGTGCAACACTTAATGGAGTAATCTCATTATCAAGTGCCTAAAACTTTTAACATTAACTTAAATAAGAGCATATTGAAGATATAAAATATTGCTGGCTTAAATATACCCATTTTATCTCACTTTCAATTATAGAAAAACTAAAGATTCAATGTTAATATTCTCTATTCTAATTTAAACTAAATTCTGAGTGTCTGAGTGGTGGGAAAAAGCATCTCTTTGCTTTTGCTGTCTGAGACCAAAGCTTTTCTGTCAGTAGGCATCAATAAATGGTCACTTAAAACAAATCAATTAAAATTTTTAATACTTATGAAGGAATAATGTAGTGTAAACTTTCTACTATAAAACTCTCACACATGCAATTTTGAGTTACAGCTTTTGAAATTCTAAACTTTTATTATATAAAAAGGTTTAAAAGTATTGTCTCCAAGCTTTTACTCTTCTCATTACTATACATACTTTAAATGAAGCCGATTTTCCGATTTTACTCACTTTTAAAAAGTGGACTATATATATGTATTTCTTTTGGTGGGGGTTGTCAGAACAATTACATTCATAAAATCCCTGCTACATCATTAGATCTGAAGTTGTTAATTATTTCAGGTAACAAGTGTTGTCCTTTTTATTAAATGTAACTCAGTTTCACTTTATATTATACAGTGGCAACCCATTTCACAACGAAACTCGATTAAACTTTTTAATCTGATATAAAATATATACTATGCAACTTCCTTAAATTCTGAGCAATATATTTGGAAAATCGTTATTCTAAATTCTGATTTTGAATTGTTTCATGGCAGTTTATATACAAAACAAAATTGCAATTATATTGGCACTTAAACGTTCACTTTTCTGGATATTTATGTTGGATGTTTGTTAGAAGAATGTTAAGTGTAAACCGAACTGTAGCATTACTTCTGGATACCCATGTAAAAATGTTAAAACTCCTTATGAAAGAACATTTTCCATGTGTGGAATAATAGTAGCACCAGTCATATTTTAAGACGAAAGAATTCAAATAATAAGTTAATTGCAGTTAGTATTATGCTGGTCAAGTAACTAGATCCAAGAAACGAACATAAATTCTCAAACTCTTTTGCAGTGCTGGTATCTGAAGTTTATTCTTGATTTTGCTAAGCTAGATTATCAAAGTCATTCACTTAATATATAAGGCATATACAGAATCCTGCTATTATGTCTCTCAACAGACTGCATAATTTAATTCAGCCCTTTACTACAGTTTTATTATCATTGAATTTATCACGGAAGTATAACTGCAAAATGTGTAAGTTAAGACTGTCATATTTTTATTCCACATGTGTAAGTCACTGACCTTTTCTAATTTAAAAGTATGAACTGAAAATATCCATAAAAAAACCAAATTAATTAATGCATGAATTAGTTTATGTAACTAAAACTCTCTGGTATTTGTAAGAACGCTAAGTTCAACACCATAACCACAAAATACTATGATTCATACATTTCTGAGTCAATTTAGTCCCATCTACATTTCCTGCTTTTTTACGAATGATTTCAATGTTTTCCTCTCATCTGCATCCTGCAAATACAAATTATTAATTCTCAGTATGTTTCTTCAAAGTCACTATTCTGTATTTCTTGGTTTATACGATCCAAGCTACATATCCAGAGTACTGCAACTGTAATGCATCGACAGCAGAGCATAAATGATGAGGTAGCCTAGTATATGGTTTTCTCCATTCTTCATAAAATCATAAAAAAGAGCTTGCCTTGCCAGTGTGTGAATAAAAAAAATATGTAACTCAATCTACCCAAGTTCCACAGCAGTAAGCTGAAGCCACAGCAATATTTTATTCTTATTTATGGCAACATTATAAAATATATTTACAATTTAAAAGACAATCTTGCTTGTTACAAAAATCAGAATGTATGAATATATCTAAAAGAAAACGTTACAACACTTAAAATACGTTAAAATTACTTGATGGTGGAAAGTAATACCTGTCAATAAGAGAGATTCAAATAATCAGTCCAAGTGATAAAAATTATGTTAATGAACTGACCGAAGTTGCATTAAAAGAAGTGCAAGATATCTTGCTAATTATGAATAATAGAAAAGGGACACCTGTGGTGTAAACTCTCCCATAATGATACATAAATCCATAATGCAGAGAGATGATTTACTGCTAAGTGTTGCACAACCAAAAACTTTAAATATGAAAGCAAAAGAAGCATACACTGCTGCATACTGACTGATCAGTGAGTAGGGTATCTAGGTTATGGTTACTTTCAGCAGAAGTAAGAAGTAGCCTAGTATATTTGCTACATGCATGCACATTTTATGAAATGTTAACAAACATCCTCAGTTGCATTTAAACTGTTTTTAATCTCACCCGTTTTTCGTCCTTGAATTCTTATCAGGTTTCAACGAAGCCTCGTAACACCTGATGCCCACTTAAAGTTTCCTTTCTATCTACAGTGTAAGGTAGTCTCTCCCATTTTCTACAGTAATCCTTCTGGTACTATGTTGGATTTATATTCAGTTTACCACATTTTATAACAGTAGTGGTTTTATGACTGTATTCTAATACATACACTTTGTCAATTCTGAAGGCAAAGTGTTAAATAATAATATCCATAACAATAAAATTTGGACCGCAGAAAAATAATGAGCTTCATGAAAGGTTTCTTCAAACAAGACAATGCAAACTTACATAATGCTTTCATTTAGCTGCAAATGCTCAATACTAGGAAGCCTAAATAAACTGCAGATGGTTTATGCCTTATGTGTGATGCTTCATACAGTGATTCCTTGCTATGTAATGATACAGAGTTAAAATAAAAGTGAATGAATAAAAGATTCCTTTGTATAAAACAAATAATAAAGTAGCATAATCAAAGTCCATAACCAAAAATGATTTTGTGTCAGTTTGAAGTTGTTAAGGACAATGAACAAATGTGGATTTTAAAAACATGAATCATGCTAATAAATTTTGATGCGGGCTTTTCTCTGATTGACAAAACTTGATACTGGGGAGACACTTAGTTCCAAATCAGCTCTTCCCTAAAAGAATAAGCTCCTCATAAGTACATGTAACAGAAAAACATGTCACATTTTATATATTAGCAAATGATTTGGTAGGAACTTGGGTGGACTAGCAGCTGCAGGGCTGAGGCCAGAGTCAGTGGCTTGGTACTGTTGCCCAAATGGGCTAATTGTACCAGTTCTAGATGACAGATGAATTTACAGCATTGGCAGAACAATAAAAGTATGAAAAAACTAGGAGGAAAACTTGCCCCTTTGTCCACCACAGATCCCACAGGACTACTCTGGGGTTGAACCTGGGTCTTTATGATGAGAAAATGGTGACCAAAGTCTGAGCTATAGCACTAATATTAGAATGTTAGAAGAACATTTTCTTGCATGGACGAAATATAAAGTGCAATGGTATTCAGAGGAAAATGTATATGTTGTCAGTATTCCAGCTATCCAAAGTGTTTTCAAGGTAGAATCACTCAAACTGAACAATATAATTCTGGGTATAATATTTCACAGGTTTTTCATGACAATTGGTTGTAACCACTATAAAGGAACCACTGAACAAATGGCATACAGAGTCCAACAATGATGCACTTCACATGCTTTTAGGTTAGATTTCTTTCATTTTGTTTAAAGAACTTAGTTACTGTATAGCAAAGTGACTTGAGAAGGTATTTCATACACGGAAATGATACAAATGTGACTGGGAGGAAGACAGGAGGGTATTTTTGTGGGTTCTATGGTACTGTGTAAATGCAGATAACTTGCTTCACTTCTCCATGCTTCAGCTCAG